ATCTTTGATATTAAAATAAGCTTGCATATGTTGATAAAAAATGCTATACAATAGCTTTACCGCGGCAGTCTCCGAGTGCCACATTTAATTTTTATTTTTGTTTATAATAAATATTAATCAATACTTAATTAAATAAAGCTCGTGGTCGGGATTTCCGTGTTTAATATAACACAGTTCTCGTAATAATGATGGACAGACAGACACAAAAATTCTAAAAACTATAGATACGGCTTCTGTACTGTAAATATTTTATATACAGATTCGGCTTAGTTACAATTTTATTATACGTATAGATTTATAATATAGGTATGTAGTGCTATATCCTAAAGATTGTAATGTTATCTTAGATAGGCAATACCTTCTTCAACAAACAGACTGCAAAATATAAAAAAAAGGTAATATGACTGGTACTTCAGACAGATTTCAAAGATGCACGCAAAATGTAAAAAAAATATTCTCTTCATATATCCAAAACTATGTAAAATGTAAAGTACAACTTTAACGTTTTAAATACTTAGATCCGGATCCCAAGAGTCACATAGCCTATTCTGCCAAAACTCAAAAAAAATATCTGATAGCTCAATATTGATTCTAAAAAACAGTGTAATATGTATTTTCTTAATGCTCAAGTCCCAATTCGTTTTTACCTGATTGCGGCAAAGCCCAAAGGAGAGTTATGTATTATCTGGATATCTTTGGCGTTACAGAAATAAAAAAATAGATAAAATAGAAAATTCTTTTATTTAACTTTTTCAACAATATTTACAATTTTTACACTGTACAATAAACAAATAGCTATATTTACAGTTGCTAGCAAGCCTATCTTGGACCCACTAAGTGCTTTAATGTGCCGTGTTTGTACGTATATTTATTGAAGCTAAACATCTAGATAATAAATATAAAGCCCTGCAAATTCATTGTCGTTTTCTTTAGACAAAGTAATTTTGCTATTGTTTCAAAATATATTTATTTTGAATGATCTACACATTAACTGTCATCATATGTAAGTCGAAATACATATACTCGTATTTTTGAAGCTCTCAATAGCAACTGTTGTCTTTTACAATATTTTTATTTCTAAATTTTCAACTGGACACTACAAATTATATAATAAATAGCAATGTGAAGATATAATTTGTTTTTGAAAAAAATGCACATTAAAAATGTACCATACTTAGCATCTAACTTCGATAGTCTTACATCCTACAAACCTTGTTTAGTCTGATTATTTTTTTAAATCGAAATAAAATAAGTACATTACGACATTTTTCCAACTATTATTGTGCCACTAAAGGTTTGCTAAATATAATAAAAAAATTGAAGTTCAAAGAGTAGCTTAAGTTCAAAGAAGCTCCAAGAGAATATTTGGAAACCAATAAGTACTACAAAAAAATTCTTTTGAACAACATACAAATGTACAATTAATTTAGTCATTAATTACATGTTTTGAATCTAATTTTTACATATAAACACAACAAAAAAATTCACATAATTTTGATCACAGATCAAGTTTCTTGATTTAAAATTATTTACAAATATAAGAAACAAGCGATTGTCAATTACCAAATTCACTTCATATGTTATAAGTGATTTTTTATAGTTTTATATAGTCGTGTAATTCAAACATTATAAATGTACTGTAACTTATAATCGCTTCTTCTTAACAAAAAAAATGTATAATATTGCTTAATCAAAAACATTAATTACTCTCCTTTTGGGAAATTGGGTAAAAACAACTTTACAAACAAAGTAAACCATACATTTTTTATCAGTAGGTACAATAATTTCTATCGTTACGAATGCCACGGAACTTAGCCTAACTTATCAGGAGAATAAGACTACATATAAACAAATACACAGGCGGTTCTATATAAATAATTACGATTTAAGAAAAGTAGCTAAATACCATTAAGTTCTTATGAAGTATCGCGTTTTACAATGATTCACCTATTAAAGAGAAAAAAAGTGATAGATAGGTCTTACTTTATAACACAAATAATTTATAAGTAACTTTTTAAAATCATATGTAGGCAATTTGAATTCAAGGCTAATCAAAAAACTTCACTTGTACAATTTTTTTTATTTTTAATAGGCAAATTATTATATTTTTTGTGTAGTGTAAGCTATACATACTTTTGGATTATTATCTAAATATATTTTTAATATACTAAAAAAGAATCGTTTAAGAAAATAATAATTGGATAAACATTAACATACAACGAAAAAAAATTGTGTTGAATTTTATAAAGATATTAGGAACGAAGATTGAGGAAAGAAAAAAGCAAAGCATCATCATTAAAAAAATAAAACATCCAGAGAGAAAATATAACTAAATAGCAAAAAGATTAAAAAATAAAAAGAAAAATATATAAAGATAATAGTTCAAATTTAGAACAGTACATATGTAGTAAAATACAGTGCTAGAAACTTGTAATAGGATACCAATACCTATTATAGCTCCATTTTCTTATATACTAAATATATAAAACCTAAAGCGAAATAAAATATCCTTATTAATAATATGATCGATTAAATAAATCAATATATTATATTTATTTACATAAAGTTATGGAATAAAACGTTCTGTCTTTAGCTAAAATTAATCACTTACAAGAACTAGAAGCACTGACTATAAGAAAATATAAACGAAATAATTTGAGTTTTTATATTATATGAACCGAGGTACCAAAACATGCACAGTTATTTATCTAATAAACAAATACTAATAGGTAATACTTAAGTGACATTATATATTTTCTTTTTATGAACGAAACAAATATCACTAAAACTTGACTAAAATATTTTGGTAGAAAATTAAACAGCAAGTTTTTTTCTCTTAAATTCTGACATAATGTGAAGTTTTGGTATACCTAGGTCCATATAGTTCTTAGATATACAGGGTAGATTGTGTTTTCTAGTAATTAAAAAAACCATACTATGGCGTACATTGATAATAAAACCTTTTAACCTCGTAATACGCATTTCAAGTAAACGATTCCATTTTAATATTAAAATATAAGGTATTTTTCTTTTTTATTGCAAAATACATATACACATTATTTATTATATACCTTTATTATTTCTACCCTGTATACTTATTAGACTTCTTTAATTTACTCCATTTATTATGCTCTACAAGTACTCCTGTAATGATATTTTGCCCACTTCACAATACTTGTAATTTATAAGATAACAATTTTTTACAAATAAAACTTCTCAAATTTTACAATTACGGTACACAATATATAGAACATATAAGGTTAAATCAATAGAAAACATAGTATTTTAAAGTTTACAAAACAATCCAATACAGAGTACTTCGACCATATTCATCTCCTTTAATAAATACTCACTAGTGATGTAACGAATATTCGATTTTTCACGTTCACGAAAGTGAATGTTAAGTTTCAAATAAAACGCGCGCAAAATATTTAACAGGCAAGTTTGACATTTCATGTCGGCCATGTTTAAACCGAACATAGCTGATACAGGTTGAATGAACGAAGTTAATGACAGAAGTTAGTGGAGTATTATTAAAATTGTCAAATATCAATCTCATATCTATTCAAAAGTGACAAAGTGATATAAAAGCTAGAGAGTATAACACAGTTGTATTATCATTCCACACCCATCCATTCCATATATAATTTCGTTTTTGTTTGTCAAATATATTCAACAAAATATTCGCATTGTTTCTTGCGAATACGAATGCGAATGTCAAATAATATGAGAATATTCGTTACATTACTAATACTCACTAATCACTACCACTAACACTTTATCTTATAACTACATATAACTGACACTTCTTAGAAAATCTAAGTTTTATTAGCAGCTTCTTCGCATCAACATTAGCATTTTTATATAAAAGTTTGTAAATTTTCATTCCATAATTAAATTGTACATCAATTTACACTTAATTAAAATTATTTTGGACATTTCTTCTTACCCAGTCAAGCATTTTCTATACAAGTATCTGATTCTCGGTCATACGACATAGTCTCTTTGACATATAATATTTTACATTTCTGATGTATTAAAAAAACCGTATGTAAAATATATTTGCTTTATATTTTAATTATTACATACAATAATGTATAATAATATAAAACAAATATATTTTTATCGTTACATGAATATAATGACAAAATAAATATATTATGTCATGAAGAAAAACCGTGTCAATCAATAGAAAATCGATCTGTGCGTTGAAATGCCTATCGTTCTCTTAAATGTTTTACTATTTATATCAATTATGTATTATGATGATTATGTATATATATCATAGTTTAAATGCGAGATACCCCAACGAACCCTCAAATGATGTTATCATAGCACAGAATTATAATTTCCAGTAAACTCTGTGTCTATATACTTCAAAAAATAACTAATACAGTACATAAATGAAAACAATGTATACAGACACAATGTCGTATGAGAATATTAGCCTCTACATAAGCAATCTAAGCATCATTTAATGGTAATTTTCCCAAATTGTGATGAAGCACTATTAATATAGCTCATTGTAAAGTAAATAAGTTAAAAAAAACTTTAACTATACACAGATGACAAAATAATATTATTATTCTTTATTTTGTGGCGCCAATGTCGCGTAGAATAAAAAAATATGACGTCACACTATAAGAGCATCTGTCAGATTGACTTTTACAAACCAAACATAATTTAAAAAAGCATATATTGCAAATATATTATTGCTCATAAAAAGAAAACTTTTTATTCAATACACATTCAGTACCGCAGTCACTTGACCTTTTCCACATCACATAAAGTACATACTCCCACAATTGAGTACGTAAATTAAATCTAATACAATTTTCTCACCACGCAATCATATAAAGATTGTCTTTCCATATATATAAATATTAACAAATACATTCTATATATAATTCGTTTCCGATCGCTTACACCTATAAACTATTTTCATATAAACATTAAGAGTATTGATTGTCCGTCTGTGCTAGCACATATATATAGTTCTACGTGTCAATATGATCGGGATCGAGCTTAGTGCCCTGTCTGATCATGACGAGTTTCTCTTCATTATCCCCTCCTTGGTGCATTGTTTCTATTGTTAGCATCATTTTCTCATCGCAGCTGTCGTCGCCCGAGTCCGAGTACATTGACTGAGTCGATGTTGCTACCTCCTGTGAATATGTTAAATCATAGTTTCATTAGAAAGAAAGTAGTTTAAATAAACGTCAATAGATGGTTTTATGTAAATTTAATAAGAAATATGGACCTTAAAAAATTGTATTCTCTTTTTTTTTAATTCTGATAAATTAGACATTGATTTCAAATATTTTGAATATGTCAATTGGTTTTATTTATGAGTACCAGTTTAGTAATTATGATATAACTGCATATTACATTGCTGTAATGCCATTATCTATACTTATATTATAAAGAGGAAAGATTTATTTTTGTGTTAGTTTGTTTGTACCGAATAGGCTCCGAAACTACGGAACCGATTTAGATGAAATTTGGTAAGAAGATAGTTTGAGGCCCTGGGAAAGACATAGGAAATTTTTTTATCCCGGAAAACATCTTTTAAAGGGGTGAAAATGGGGATGAAAATTTGTATTAGGAAGCAACCTAGAGACGAACCCGAACAAAGCGAGGGTGAGCCGCTAGTAAATGCATAAGTTTCTATGTGTTACATATATACAAACATAACTGTTTGTTACTCATTTACGCTAAAACCGCTGGACCCGCGACCGCTGCCACAGCAAGTAGGGGCACTACAAACTCAGCCAAACGTCCACCGTGTCATGATAACGATGACGTCCATCAGTACGAGGTAGCCATACCGTGATCCGGTTCTTGGTGTGTATGCGCACGTGCTTGGCGAGGTGGTCGGAGCGCATGAAGCGCTTGCTGCACTCGGGGCACTCGAAGCGCTTCTCGCCCGTGTGCGTGCGCCGGTGACGCTGCAGCTCGTCCGACCGAGTGAACCTGGGACCATGGAAATTAATCAATTTTAGGCTATATGAAAATTGTAGACTTCTCAGTAATCAAAAATTACGTTATGTAACGCAAGCATTACAATATAATAGTATTTAAAATTTGTTCGAGGAAGTTGTCTTACACCATTTTTAGCAACTGTAGGATTAATGCATTTATGAAAGTTTGTTATAATTTACTACTACAAGTACCGTTTACGGAACAAATGGTATATAAGATGTCTATCTACATATTATATAGCCTATCCAGAGTCATTTTTTATGTTGACAGGTAATATGGTCGTTGATTGATTAAATTGCCACGGAGGCGCAGATATTATAGGACATAAGTATACGCGAAAATACTAGTGCACTATCTATTCATGTCGTTCTGATACTCTGGTGGGAATACAATTTGTCTCGACCGGTAAGAGATCAAATGCAGGGTTTTACCCAGCACGAGTGTGAAACACCACCAACTCCGGAATTTTACTGGGAATTTCTTGAGAGAAAAACTCATTAACTGAAATTGAACCGTCCCCAGACTTGAACCCCGGTCCTTCCAATCTGCAGCTATACACACTATTACCACTAGATCTAGACCTGAGACTCAGGTGCTTAACCTTACAATAACCTTATATCTAAACCACACAAGTTTATCTATGCATCCCTCAACGAACCACTTATTAATGCTAACGGGTGACATATAATACGCTAATACAGCGGCGATATTCCCTCCAAATCAAAGATGTGCCACTTGTACAGTATAACGTATTCTGTGTCCGTACCTCTTGCCACAGAACAGCCAGTTGCAGTGGAAGGGGCGCTCGCCGGAGTGCCAGCGCAGGTGCGCGCGCAGGTGCGACGTCTTGCCGTACACCTTGTTGCAGCCGGGGATGTGGCACACGTGTTGCTTCTTGCGGTCCACTAGCCTGCTGGGGAGAGATAATCACATTAATATCATCATAATGTTTAATGTATGTATTCAGCCTTTTCTAACGTCCCACTGGACTCAAGCCTCCCTTGAATACGAGAATCAGGCTATAGTCCACTACGCTGGCCAAGTGCGTGTTTGTGGACTTGACATGTCTTCCGAAAACTTGCAAATTTTCTCGAGGATGCAGGTTTTATCACGATGTTTTCATCGTCATAATATCTGTCTGCTTTCGTCCACTGCTGGACATAGGCCACTCCCGTGGTGCGTCCCTGAATTCGATTGCCATTTCAACGCATCCAACAGCAGCCTTTGCGTGAATCGTCGCTCCCCCTACTCGTCCGTAGATGGCGTCCTACACTACGTTTCACGCATTAATATCACAGTATACTAACGCCATAGTCTACTAATATCAGTCTAGAAATGTCACAGTCTAGTAATCCATACAGTCGTTTAACGAAGGTATCTAGAAGACAGGGCAATCGCTAGTAGCGCGTAGATTGGTCGATTGTATCACACATTAACTTCACTAATAAAAAAGTTTCATTAAAATCTTTTAAACTACAACACACAAACAAATAGAGAATAAGATTTAAAAAACCTTATCTATACATACAGATAAATAAAATTGAAGTGTCTGTAATTTCAAAATAACAGCGTTTTACTAAACGCATATGGAATTATATACAGTACTTATAAGAAAAACACAATTTTTAAATTTTTGTCTGTCTGTTTGTTCCGGATAATCTCTGAAACGGCTGGACTGATTTTGACGGGACTTTCACTGGAAGATAGCTGATGTTATAGGGAGTAACATAGGCTACTTTTATTTTAGAAAAAGAATAAGCTCCGCTCGAAATAATCAAAACGTGTCTAAGGACAAACCCGAGCGAAGCGAGCGTCAGTCTCTAGTAAAATAACACGTTTATCAGATTTTTACCGCGAGCGAAGCCGCTGCTTCTGCTAGTAATTGAAGTATATTAATATTTAAGATTAAAAGGAAAACAATTAACTTACTTCTCCCCCTGATCGCAATTGGGACACGTGCAGGCCACGCGCTTCATCAACCGCTTCCCACTGTTGGGACTGTTGGGCCTGATCTTGTTCGCCTCGCACTCCGCGGCGGGCGCGCTGCCCGAGCTCACCGTCACCACCTGCCACTTGCCGGGCTCGTTGGGGTCCTGTTGTATTTGTTGTCCTGGAAATGGTGTTTCTGCAATGGTTTTAAAATCTATCAAGAAGCGAGGCCGATTTCTCGACCGGTTTCTTTATGTGATATATGTACATAAAAAGAATTTCATTGGAATTTGGTACAGATTTGATTGAAATAAAAAAGTAAAAATAAAACGTTTTGAGACAGTTTAAAGGGCAGCAGATTATATATATATAAAACGATTAATGGCTTATATAATACTAATGGGATGGAATATATGATGATTTAAATCCCAAGAATTCATCGTCTACTTTAATATTATATCCGAAACTATTAATCCGATCCTGAAAACTCTTTCACTAATAAGAAACTACATTACAGATTAGTGCTACAGGTTATATTTGTTCCGATAAAAGTGTGTTTACTTTCAGAAATTATAATAACTTTAATTTAATCGGCTGCTGTAGTGTTTTGAAATAAAGCAGAAGTAAACTGCTATAAATATCCAAACAAGGTTGTTTTAAAAAGATTATTTTTTCCTTTGTGACCTTTAAAAAGTCATGGTTTTTTTATTCACTTGAATATAAAAGATTCTAAGGCAAGCACCGTTTTATTTCAAAACAGCTAGTACTCACTCAAGGGAAGCAAGGGTAATTCGCTAATCAAAAATAGTTTAAAAATCAACCATATGTGGCACAAAAAATCAAAAACTTACCTATAACAGGCTGTGGCTGTGGTTGCTGCTGCTGCGGTATTTGCGCAAGCTGCACCGCGCCGGGCAGTCCCACTGTGGGGACTAGCTGGACGCCACTGAGCCCGCCCACGCCCAACGTTGGCATCTAAGTGATAAATACCAATAAGTTTACAAGTTATACATAATCATATGACTTGGGTATATTTATTTATAGTAAAAGTCATTATTGTCATTTTTTGTTATCTATTGTTATTATGACTCGCTCAAATACGTACTAAACCGATATTATAATTATTATCCATGAAAAAACTTGTTATAAATTGTTCATAGTTAAATTCATTATAGTATGTTTAAAATATATTATTTTAATATTTTTAGTGCTCAACATAAAAGAACATGTCGGAACAAAAACCATTATAAATTGAACAAAAATAAAAATAAATACAATCTATTACTAAGTCATATATTTTAAGCCATATATTTATAGCATATAATAACATAATTATATCCCACCCCCAAAAACCAAACCACTAAAACCTAAATTCCCCAAACCAATAACCGAAACCAAACCGGTTAAAACCATCGGCACCCAAACCTCGGATACCTGTACAACATTGCCCCTCACATTGCTAGACGGTATGACGGTGAGCTGCTGTCCCTGCGGCGTGGTGGTGATGATCGCTTGCGAAGAGTTCTCTTGTAGCGGGTTCGACACCGCCTTCCGTGCAGCGTTAATGTTTCGCTTTGTTAGTTGTGGTTACACAAATATATACAAATAATTTGTTAGGCGTTTGATTATTTAGATATAAGCATTCGATCATATTATTATAAAGGGACAATTTAAATAAGTTTGAATATGAATAAATAATTTTATAATCAATGTAAATTAACTGTGCACGTAAATAATAATAATATATTATGTATATTTCCTATCTATTTTATCTAATATAAGTAGTTCCCTTATTAAGATTCAACAAACGAAGATAGAAATACATTCAGTTAATGTACAATTTGAAAAATAGTGATACAATATTTCAAAGAACCTATCATGATTAAAACGCTTCATAATAAGTAAAAACAACAAATCCAATCAAAACGCGTTAGTAGCGAGAAATTTTTTCTTATAACGAAAGTTATTTTTAATTCTTCATTGTTACTCATTATAGAATCACAGGTAGACTTAGTAATACAATAGCATAAACCATCACCTGAACTCCCACACCAATACAATACCTCCGCGTCGCCTTAGTGCTCATTTGTTCAAACCACCAATAACAGTTATACTTAATTTTAAGAACAAAGCTTTGTTTCTAAGATTTATATACATATACGAGTATAGACAGTTTCGGCTTTATTAAAGTAATATGTGTATTTAATACCAATATAATTGACATTTAGAAGTAAATAATTCTATATTAAAAACTCGGTAAATCGGTCGTTTGGCCAAATAAGCACAGAGATGACACAAACATACAAGCAAGCAAATTGCACAGCATTATTATTACCTGTAATGTGATCGTAGGCTGCTGCTGGGCGCCGGCGCCGCCCTGCGCCGCACTTTGCTGCACCAAACCAACCCATTACCACACCATACAATATTACATACATACAATACATATTTATATTGTGGTTGACACCACCAATCAATTACCTTATTTTTTATTATCGACTATATATTTTGGGGCCCAGTGCAAAAAAAAACAAAATTTACAAATATGAAAGTTATCCAGTTTTACTAAAAGGAAACATTTTTTATTTTAATAACTGCATTTAAATAAAAAAAAAGCTTCCCTGAACCGGGAATCGAACCAAATAAAAATGCTAAAAAGAACACCGTCACTATTTTATCAAATTAATAGATAGGATCTATGGTCAGGATAAAACCTCTAGAACAAATATTGCATCTTAGAATTAAAGAAAACCATGAAATTTTAATATTTATACATATCGACTCTAACATCGTGGAACAAATGCACAGGACATGGAAGAAAATTGTCTTAAATCTTCTCGGAACGGAATAACGGGTGGAATAATCAATAAAATTTAGTAAAAAACTGAGTTTTGTAGAACATAGGTACGATCACATTGCTTATGGTCCTCTTGAATCAGGGGCCTCATGCCACCGTATTGGCTGCATTGGCATAGTTAAACTACAACAATTATACAAATAAACTACTATATAAATAAATAAAATTGAAGTGTCTTTTTGTATTATCAAAATAACAGCTGTTTTCTAAATGCATACGTAATTATATACGGTACTTATAAGAAAAACACAATTTTTTAATTTTTTGACTGTCTGTCTGTTTGTTCCGGCTATTCTCCGAAACGGTTGGACGGGACTTTCACTGGCAGATAGCTGATGTTATAAGGAGCAAGTAAGGCTACGTTTATTTCACAAAAAGAATTAGGTTTCCGCGCAAAAAAAAAAAATAAAACGTACCTAGGGACGCACCCGAGCGAAGCGAGGGTAAGTCGCTAGTTTTTAATAAAACTTCTTTTTTCGGTTTTTTCGCGGTCTTATTTTGCTTTTTGTTCCCGACGACAATTTCGAAAGCTTTCGTTGCACATGTTTTCCATCAAAAAATAGTTTTACATTTTAAAATATTAAGTTCCCCCGGATTGCTTAAATTGTACTTTGCATACTACGATTAAAAGTGACGGAGCTACCCAATTTTGTTTCTCTTTTTTATTTTAATATATAATTCTTACAGTTCGATAGCCACGAACACTAGTCTAATACTTTACATGAGGAAACATATATACATACATATTATATATAAAGTAAATAGGTGCATTCAAAATAATGTAGAATAATAAAAAAACCTAATATCTCAATCAATATTTTTTTTAATAAGAAGTCAAATGAACTTCTGTATAAGCAATTAATAAGTACAAAAATTAAACACACCGTTAGAGTCAACAACTAGGAAAGTAAGAAATAGCCACACCCCAAAAATATAATTATATCATAACTGAACATAAACTATGATGAACAGCAGTATAAAGTTAAAAGAGCTAAATAATTTAATTATTTTCAATTCAATTCTTGTTAATGGCTTCAAAGCGTGCCAGTTGAGCACAGATTACTTCGCCACGTAAAATGGAGATTTATTGACAGTTGTCAACTACCTCTCCTCTATAGTGCGTAGCCGATTAGATTATGCTAGCTTTCTATTTGCCAATAGCTATAAGACAAATTTATGTAAGCTTGACAAAGTACAAAATTTATTTATGCGAATTATTGGCGGCTTCATTAGAAGCACGCCAATTCATGTTATGGAATCAGAACTTCACCTCCAGCCTCTGTGTGTGCGACGGTTTTATCTAGCAGGCAAATTTTGGTTTAAATCCATGAGCTACTCTCAAAACGTTATAGCCAATATATTGGATAATCTAAGTAACCTCTGTAGAACTAATTTTTGGAGATGCAAGAACAAGCCACTTCTAGTCATTATTCATAATCAATTTAAAACGATTTCTTTTCATAAAAGTAATAATTTGGGATGTTTCTCTTTGGACACTTGGACAAGCAATGTGGATTTATCTAATATTATTAGCAGTCATATACAGGACATTAACAAATCAAAAAAGCATTATAATCCTATTTTGCTTAATAATATTTGTACGAAATATTTTAGAGAAAAATATGATAATTTTTATAGTATATATACGGATGGATGTAAAGACGGAGATGGAGCTGGTGTGGCTTTTTTAGATACGCAAAATGGTACAACAATAAAGTTACAGATTAATACAAATATGTCTATTATGCACATTGAATTGATTGCTATATCAGAAGCGATCGCATATATTGAATCCTTAAATTCAGGAAACTACGTAATCTTTTCCGATTCTAAGAGTGCTCTTCAACATCTAAATAAATGTAGTAGTACTTTTCGCGGGGTACCAATAGCGTACGATATTATAAAATCGATACAAAAACTTGCGGATAAGGGATTTGTCTTAAAGCTTCAATGGATCCCTTCACATGTAGGATTGCGTGGTAATGAAGAAGTTGATCGCCTTGCAAAATTAGCAGTGAATTCTGACTTAGTATGCAATGATTTACCTTATTTTAGTGATTTAATTCATTTAGTAAAAGAAAAATGTTACGAAATGTGGAAGGAACATTTTGACGTAAGATCAGTGACAAAAGGAATTTGGTACAAAACCATACAGCCATCTCTGTCTCGGTCTCCGTGGTTTGCTGGTGCTAATTTATGTAGATATGATCTTGTAACAGCTCTCAGACTTCGTTCCGGACACATCCCATTGAATAACTTTGCTTACCTGGTACGTAAAATCCCATCTCCTAATTGTTCAGAATGTGACGTTATCGAAGATGTTTACCATGTCCTAGTGGAATGTGTCCGAAATGAGGTCGAAAGATTAGAATTATTGAGCAATATAAATTTATTTGAATTAGGTGCATGCAATTGTATTTTAGGTCGTCCTGAATCAAAGGAAGCTAGAGTATTATATAAGATTTATAAAATAGCTGTAAAGCGTCGGTGAGTTTTTTGTAGTTGCTCCAATGAGGGTGGCATGTTCAATTAATGAACAAACCCTCTTTAAAAATAAAATAAAGATTTAAAAAAAAAAAAAAAAAAAACTACCTCTCCTCGAAAATAATGTCAAAAATGTCAAGCCATCGTACCAACTTAGCGACAAAAATTATAGACAGATCACGTGACCCTCAAATTAAGTATATATTCAATACGAAATAAATACAGTAAATTTAAATAAAATACTAGAAATATTAAAAGTAGTTTACATGTGAATATGAAGTAAATGAAATGGCATAATTATCTAACCTGTACGTTACCGAGCGATGCGATTTGTATCTGTTGTATTTGTCCAGAAGGCGTGAGGACGTTAGCCACTTGCGGTTGCGCTTGCATCTGAAAGTCACAAAAAACGTAATTATACAATGGAATTTGTTGTTATTATTCTAAGACAGCAATTTTGAAGTAATTTAAGATTTTAAAAAATAATTTCAAAGATGTTAAAATAGTCGACGATGTATCACTAGACTTTTCATCTATTTTTTAAATATTACTAGCTGACCCGGCAAACGTTGTTCTGACATGTAATCCCTCCATGACCGCGGACACGCCGGCGTGTCAGTTAACAATAGATTTCTTAGAATTTTAATTAATTTCTTAGAAATTTACCTGGAGGTGTTATATAATAAAAAATCTAACGTAAGATCCAAAAATACTAAAATCACAATTAAAAAATTGGGGGTGTGGGTGAAAAATACTTTACAACGTATTCTTATACCTACTAAATGTACAAAAAAAAATCATTAAAATCGATCGAGCCGTTTCGGAGGAGAGTGACCACAAACACCGTGGCACAACATATTTTTTAATTACATTTTTTTTAAATAAATTATGTGAGACATATTTAATTTTTCAATAAAATTATTTTAAGATAATGCACTAACAGCACATAATAATTTACAGATAAAATTGTGTATTTTCTTATGAGTAACAACAAATCATGGTTTTTATTTTTGCTCATTGTTGCCTTTAACAGCTCAATTACCGCTATCAATCGATTATAACTGGAGCAAAGTAATTAATTCGTCTTTGTTATCGGCTCTTAAGGTCACTGAAATGTCGAATTGAAAAATTGCTAACCTTGTTGATTTATTAAAATCCATTCATAAAGATTTCATAGTAAAGAGGAAACTTAATGTTAAGGAAAAATTAAAATTGTATTTTTTTCAAAATTCCTTTGAAATAAATACAACCAAAAGGAACATTCGATTCATACGAAGTACGATGCTTTTAACTTCGATAGATCATATTTTGCTTAGTTATAGTATAGAATACACTGACCCGACCCGGGGCCCAAACCCAGGATCTCCGCATATGCAGCCATATGGTAACCACTACACCGCCGAGACAAAATATGAAAAATATACTATAGAATTTATACAGATAAATAAAATTGAGTGTCTGTTTGTAATGTTTCTGTCTGTCTGTTCTGGCTAATCTCCGAAACGGCGGGCCGATTTTCGATTTTGATGGGACTTTCACTGGCAGGTAGTTGATGTTATAAGAAGTAACTTAGCCTAAGTTTTACTTTTATTTCAGTAAGAGATTTAGGGTTCCGCTCAAAAAAAAAAATGTACTTAGGGACGAACCCGAGCGAAGCGAGGGTGAGTCGCTAGTATGAAATTAATTCCGAGAAAATGATAATTATATAACCCAAGGAAATATTTCCAGTCTTATCATAGCCGTATTGTCAAATGAAGTCAGCAAACAAGTTAACATAATTGAAATTTAAATGCATTCCAATTTCCTGTACCTACTTCTGATTTCTAATTCTAATATATAGAACAGCTCATTCTTACTTATAGTATAAAAATAAATCTGTCTTTCCGTTTGCTAACTTTACGATTAAATATTAACAATTAAATTGCAACAACTGTTTATAATATATAAATTATATAAAGAACATATTATGCTTTATCCATTTACATTACAGGAATCGTGCGCTCTAATGTATGGTAGCTTTAATATATTGCAATTGTGCTAACTTGAAAATATTTAAAATTTAACTAAATCGATAGGTGTCATGCTACAAAATCGTCAAAAATATTCCCATTCTGAGAAGGACATACGGAAGAAACATACAGAAATATAGTTAGTAACGTATACACGACAGCCTGCGGTGCTTTATGATTGCACATATACATACATATTTACGACATAATATTACATGATAACAAGTAGTGTTAATGCCTTGGTGGCCTAATGACTAGTATGAACGGCTGTAGGTCCGGAGGTCCTGGGTTCGAATGCCGGATCAGACCAGATTAAATACTGAGCTTTTCTGTTTATGTATTTTCACAAGTAACCCCGACTTAGGAAGTTGACAGAGTTACACCCCCATGCTTCAGAGATCATGTAAAGCCGTCGGTCCTGCGGTTAAATTCTCACTGATCGTGTCGAAGTATCGTCCCACTGGAGTATGAGAGGAATAGAGAGTGCACTTGTGTCTGCGCCATACACTCACTGCACTATAACTTAAGTTCCATGATCGAAAATTTATCGGCTGAAGTGAATATATGGCGAATCTTTGCTAATGACTAACTGCTTAGTAGAAGGGTATATGTACGTTTCTGGAATTAACTGGTTTATTTCGGTATCAAAACCATTGATATATAAAAACAGGTACACATTCCTAACAAATATCTCTTCAAAAAGTGTGCGGCGTGTGACGTTATGACAAAACAAAATAAAATTCAAAAATCAAATATTGCAATTGTCTAAACGCAACTTGCGCACACCACATAAAGCATTTTTTTTAAAACGAAACAACGTGTTTTAATTTTTTCATCCAAAAGAGATTAAAGTACACAATTTTGAATCGCTAATTGTATATTTTGAATTTTTGTATATCAATTATCAAAACCTAATAACTCTTAATCGAAAGATTAAGAGAGAAAGAGAGAGAGAGCTTAGAGAAACCTAAGTATAACCGTAAACTATTGTTATTTCGGTTTACTAAACCATTTGTATATATTAACCGGTCAACGAAACCTGCGATGAACCGACCATTACACTAGCGAAATGAACCGTTTTTTTAACAACCCTTCATATAATATTAGTGCAGACACGGTACCTGCTGCAGCTGCGGTATGATCTGCAGGTGCGGCGCGTGCACCGGCACGTGCACGGTCTGGTACACCGTGTGCCCGTTGGCCACGCTCACCGGCACCTGCACCGGCACCACGCCCACGCCCACGCCGCCCACGCCGCCGCGCACCGCCACGCCGCCGCCTGGACCGCACGCTTCATATTACAAACTAGGTTGATTCTCCATACAAACTTTCATCCCCATTTTTACCCCCTTAAGAGATGATTTCTGGGATAAAATATATTCTATGTCCTTCCCAGACTCTCAAACTATATTCTTAACAAATTTCATCTAAATCGGTCGAGCCGTTTTTGAGTTTATTCGTTACAAACATACAAAAATACAAATCTTTCCTCTTTACAATAATAATGTAGATGTGAAAGTGTGTGTTTGTTTATCTTCCTTTCACTTCGAAACCGAGCGACGGATTGCCGTGATTTTTTATGTGGAGATAGTTAAAGGGCTGGAGAGTGACATAGTTTACTTTTCACAGCGGGAGATTATCTCATTCCCACGGGAAAACACGTAATATACAACTTACAACAACTCATTATCTACCACTCATAACAACTATTTATTCCATACTAACCGTTAAAACATACCTAGCGACGAACCCCCCGAGGGTGAGCCGCTAGTACTTTAATATACTCGTACATATTTGTTTTATAGATTTTTGTAGCTTACTTAAGCGGTACAGTGGTAGCCCAGTGGCAACAAATAAAAAAATCTTAATAAACACAATAACGAAATAAAATAATGACACATTATTTTTCAAAAAAACAAATATTTTTGGTTTTTAAATATTATACAAACACTTGAATCATACCTCACCCTATATAGTGTAAACGAACCAAATGAAATTAATGAGTCGTTAGTATGAAAATGCAGTGAAAAGAAAATCAACACCAAATATGATATAGAAAAAGCAAGGAATCGAGAAGAAAATGACACGTTCAAGAGAACTTTCATATTAGCACATATGCAAATAATATGAAAACTCCCTAATAATTACCAACCTTGTCCATTGGGAGTGGGTGACGCTTTCTCCTCCTTGGTGTTGCCATTCTTACTATCCCCATTCCCCAAGGCGACGCCACCATTGGCCACGTTGGCAACACTGGCCACCGGTAGTTGGACACTCGTCGAGCTCGGGATCGATATCGACTGACTGGTCGGGATCTGAATCCCGCCCGGGATCGATATGTTAGTCCCCGGGATAGTAATCATCTGATTGCCGGTGAGGGCGCTCAGGGGGATAGTGAGGTTAGTACCGGGGATGGACACGGTGGCCTGTTGCTCTGTTAGGGGCCAGCGGGCGAAAGAAAACAGTTAGTATGACAGAATTGGTTAAGCGTGCGTGAGGTGTGTCCATTGATTTGTCAGCTTGTGAAACATTTTATTTTAATGGACCATACAAATAAATAACGCTTTCTTAGATTTACGCGAATATTTGACATTTTAAATAACTAACTTAAATATTTGACTTATCTATCTTTTCGAATTATTTCGAGGATTTATTTTAATTTTTGATTCCCAACGTTTCAAATGATAAAAAGTGCAAATGGCACCAAAGTACCTAACAATATTTGTTCATTTTAATTCTAAACTTTTTTTAATATTATTATTATAAATATTGCATTTTTTTTAAAACTTTATTAATTAATATTTAGTGTTGCTACTACTATAATATGTATAACCATAAAGAAAACTAAAATTGAATTTTTGAAATCACTTTTGTTATTCTCTCCTGTGACCATGATTGCAGTAAAGCATTCGAAACGTCGGGAACCAAAAATCAAAATAGATCCACGAAATAATCCGAAAAGATAGTTTTATTTAAAATATACAAATAAAATTTATTGAGTTAATTATTACTTGAGAATCTAGATATTATTTAAAAAAATATAATGAACAAATTTCACTGGCTGTTTGTTTTTAAGAAATGTAATGGACATTATGGAGCACCAATGTAGAGATTTTAATAATTTGTTTGTTTTATGATTATGGTTTTTTCTTTATATAATATTTATAGTTATACATTTGAGTTAATTATAATAATTTAATATTGCCAAAAAAAATTACATGCAAAATTTAACGTCTTAATTTTTTAAAAGTATTGAGCGACAAATAAAAAACTCAGTAAAAACTATTATAATTTAACAAAAAAAAATTGCAATAGTATTCTCGCGTGTAAAAAAAAATCAATTTCCGCTAAATAAAAAAATATTTTACAGTGTTTACGTTTATTTTTAAACCGTGTTAAAAAGCGAAGTTAGCAAGAATTTATGGTGATAAAAAGCATTAAGCAGAAAAAAATGTAACTTAAATTAATCCCATGAAATGAGATCCCAAGCAGTTAAATGTACAGAAAAGTATATATAAAAATAAATATATATATATGTAACAATTACTTAAGTCCCACCTGTGGGCAAGTGCATGACGTTTTGAAGGAACCCGGCGGGCAGAACTGGCGTCCTCACTAACTGACCGTTGACAAGGCTCACTTGTCCCATACCAGAGAAATTCTGGAAAATTATTTTTTTTTTAATAAATAGAAAATTAAAAATATAATTCTATTATTTTAAGCTGTAAGTGACAAAACTATAGTATAGATATTTTTATAGGAGCATACAAGACGCGAAAATTGCTTAGCCAAGTTTTTTTCATCGGTAATGAAACTTAGATTTTAATTATATGACTATGTAAAAATTCTATTAAAGAGGCGAGCGTGCATCGATCAAAAAGTACTACATAAGTACACAATCAGCGACAAAAAATGTACTCGTCGAATGAGCGCTCATTTGAACATTTGAGCGCCCTTTTAATTTTTTTTTTTGTGAAAACAACTCTATAAGTATAGCATTTAAGGTTGAATTTACATTGTTGTATATTTATTTTAACTACAATTACCTAAACATAATGGTGACAGTTTTAAGAGAACTTTTGCATGGGATTGTGTATCTAGTACTTTTTTGATCGATGCGAGCGTGCCAAAAAGGTTGTAGTGTGTGCTCATGTGATATACAACGTTACATTGCATTGGGACACCTAATCGTTTTCACTGTGAATTTAGTAAGTCTCTCAGTCCCCTGCCCATACGAATGTCAGGGGACTGTGAGAGTGTAAACCATAACAAACAAAAAAGATGCTTGCCTCGCAACGCACCGTTCACCAACCTGAACGTATATCCTCACAATATCATTAACGGCCGGCAGGGGACTGTAAGACTGTAATGTACCCACCTGTGCGTGATGCGCGGGTATGAAGAGCGCGTCCTGTCCATCCACAGTGACGGTCTGCAACGGCGCCATGCCGCCTACCACGCAGCCGCCGTACACATTTCCTTGTTGCTACACATATCATGACAATCAGTTTATATAATAGTATTTATTTATTGATTAATTATATACTTTTATTTATTTTGTATTTATATATGCATATTTATAAATATATACATCTTCTACTGTCTATTTATTATTCGCACCCGTTCTATCTTAGTACTACTTCCCACACCTAAAGCTTGCCTGGAAGAAATCACTCTTTTAGCAATTGTACCTTCTCCTATTTTTTTGTATATTTTCTTTTCTCTTTTTGGGTGCACATTAAATGTTATTTATTATTATTATTATTATTATCTCCTTTAACACGTGTTTAAACTCTCCTAAATAACCAGATTGTAACAACGTGTATACTATAGTTTAATATTTTGCAAATAATAGTGCAAGTGCACTCTCTATTCCTGTCACTCTCATACTCGGGTACAACAATTCGACTCGACCAGTGAGAGATCAAGCACAGTGGGTGTCGGGAGGAACGCGCAAAACTTCCAACTTCAGTCTGTGACTGAGATTTTCTTTACAGAAAACTAAAGAGCTAAACTTGACCCAAACCGAGACTCGAACCCAGGACCTGCAGCCGTACACACTAACCACTAGACCACTGGGGCAATAGTTACAAATTATCTACGATACAGACTACACACATACCCAGAATCCATGATATTATTTTACAACCTTGTATTATCGATTTTTATGAAAAAAACTTATTTATTTTTAGCTAATTAAACATTTATCATAGACTATGACCACCTAAAGCATTTAATTACACAAGAATAAAAAAAAGATGGCATAAAAACAACAACACTATTTAACATCTCAAACATCCAATTAAAGTTTATTATAAAAAAAATTACATAATCAAACCAACAAATAATAATAAAATAATAAATATGTTGGGACATTAACACACAGCATCATCTAGTTCCATAGTAAGCTACGAGGCCTGTTTTATGGATACCAGATAGTTGATACACTACACATACACAAATTTAACATACATACATATTATAAATATAAACATCCATGACTGGAGTAAAAACATTCGCGCTCATCACACAAATGAACGCCCTCAGTGGGACTCGAACCGGCGACCTGCTGGCGATCACTACAAACTGTCAAACTCTCCTCTCTGTCACTGTCCAAACGTATCGTCAAACCACTCACTTGCAAAAGCTGGGGGTGTATTTGTAACAGCTGCTGTGGTGTGTTCTGATACGTTGTGCCGTCGCCGCCCGACACCACTCCGCCGCCCAGCAACGATTGTAGCTGTTGCATTGAGATAACCTGAAATAATAATATTATGTATTTAAAAAACGTGCGTGTATGTATAATTCATACTTGGTAGAAGTGAAACTTAAAAAAGCAAAAAAAAACTTCAGAAAAGTAACCTGTGAGAAAAGGAGATAAATATAGAGTATCAGTAGGATAATTATTGTAAGGTTTATTTATTTTTTTTATAATATTTTTACCAAGTTTAAAAGTTATTATACATTTTATTAGACTTAAATATACATTACATATTATTCAGTAAATAATTTTATTATTTTTCACTCCCTGTGTAATGTATTCTATCTCAAATAACAACAGTTACTATGGCAACATAGCAATGTATTCTATCTCATTCTCTCGCCGGCTTAATCCTATATATTTTTGTTCGTCTCTTTTGTTTTGGATTTCTGTTTTATCGAGTTTCAAATCACAATGATCATAATTATATGTACTTCATTGTAAAAAAAGGTATATAAAAGAGTTAAGATTATACATTTTTTTATTAATACCTGAGGTTGCTGCACTTGTATGCCATTTGGTACCGTACTTGCTGCATTTACTATCGCTGCAGACAATTCATTCCCCTGAAAGTGATTTTTTGTATTATCTATAGGGTATATTCAATTTAACCTACTATTTTTATTCAGTGAAGTAAAAAGTTACTTCACAATATTATTAGGGCACCAATTTGGCACTTAAACCAAAATTAACTCTGCATTGAAAGGTGACAATTCAAACTGGGTTAGACATAAAAGTATTTCCAGTCTAATCTATAAAATCATTAATTATTAACCTTAATAAACTTCTGCAATACTTTATATTTTAACAAATTTTAACATATAAGGCATTAAATATTATACTATATTTATATGTATACATAACACAAACATTAAAAAACTATAGCATATAAATTAAATAAAAAAAAAACATTGTAACATCAGCTTTCCGAGTATTTCTGAATAATGAACTATTGTACATCCTTGAAATATTTTTCCTATTGTACTGCCAAATATGGTGACTTGTCTATTCATAGTTATATAACTAGCTTTATAACTTCTTTAATTTTTGCTCAATCTATGACTTAATTCCTATTATCAAAAAGAATTATAGGCTCTAATAACTGACTAGGTTCATACCCCATACATACTTTCATCTTAAGGGATGATTTCCGGAATAAAAAGATACTATGTCCTTCCCAGTCTCAAACTATCTTTTTACCAAACATCTAAATCGGTTTAGTAGATCCAGAGATTACCCTCTACAAACTCACAAATTCACAAACTTTACCTCTTTATAATATTAGAATAGATATATTATCACAAAATAGTGGAATTACCTGTAGCATTGGTATTTGAAAAGTTGATTGATAGATTTTAATACATACATTGTAAATATATAAAAGTAAATAATGAAAACCAGTTTATAAATAATTCATATGTATAGCGCTATACTGAGGGAACTGAATTATACCACATCAATTCAATGAATGCATAATTAAATATGCTATAAATTTTGTATGAACGCTTTAGTTACTGCTTTTCTGCAGTTAATGGCTTCTTAAGAAGTATGTTACATTTATGTTATAATATGGCTTTTAAATACTGTTTTCTTTCTTTACAATTTCTAGCTAATATTTAATATAAGGCTAATAAGTATGAAAAAAATGTTTTTTTAAGGAATTATATGATCAAAAATGCATTTTGTTCTAAAAAAACAAGCCACAAAGGCATATGTAGTTAATGTTTATTTTGCTATCACTCACCGACAACCCTTGAGCTCTGAGTTGCTGAACAACCGCAGTACTGATGACTCGTAGTTGAGGTTGCTGTTGCAAGTATTGTTGTTGTATTGCTGCAAGTGTTGCTGCATCACCTTGCACTTGTTGCTGTACAAGCTGAGCTTGTTGGACCTGTTGTTGTTGTTGCTGCTGCTGCTGCTGTTGTTGTTGTTGTTGCTGTTGCTGCTGTTGTTGTTGCTGCTGCTGTTGTTGTTGCTGTTGCTGCTGCTGCGGGCCTGCAATGATTTAACACAATTGTTACATGAAATATATTTCTTTTAATTATATATGTAGATAGATTGGTTAAAAAAAAAACAAAAAATAACTTATTAGTGTAACATGTATGTTTATTTATCAATATGATTTAAACATGTTTTAATAGATTATAATACTAACTAATAATATCACGAATTTACTGAAAAGAATTGCACTTATATTATTTTATCAACAATAATCTCTTCATTTAATCTAATCAAGCAAATTTCCATTCATCATAGTACTGTAAACTATGATAATTACTGAAATGCTGCTGCTGCTGCTCCTTATCCTGTTGTTCTGTCTGCATATTGGAAGCACCAAGGCGACTGCAGGTGGCAGCCAATAACGCTAGGGGCGACTGGGCGCCGCTACCCTCCTGAGCATAATAAATACAAGAATTTATTGTAAAGGAAATATAAAATTTATTATAAAGATAATAAAAATTCAGCATAAATAATTTAATTTATATACAGAAATTCCTTTTTTAAGTCGAAATTGATACATTAGTGATATTGCATTGTTGCTACAAGTACCTATTATTTAAATATGTTTTTGGATAACATAATTTTAATTTGTTTGTCAAAGTAAATAATACCTACTATATTTAAGGGATCTATGTAAATAACATATTTTGGAATAACATATCAATCTAGTTTACAATATTGAGCTTTAATAAAATTATAATATTCTATATTTAGTAAAATTATTATGTTGTAAGCTTTTAAGCTCAGCCTTTTTTAATTAGGAGTTCTTTTTTTAAAGTATATTTTTTTATGTGATATTTTTTATTTGTAAACAAAAAGTAAAACAGTTTGAATAATATATTTTCACAAAAGAAGCATGTCATCTACCTTTAACATTGCATAGATGCATTGATAAAGTTAAAGGGGAAGTCTCACACATAAATCAATAGACATCAGCTGAACAAAAAGATGGGAAAAAGTGCGAACACAAGGGGTGATTTAATGCCGTACCATGCCTTTGATTTCGCGCGCAACCCATTTTCAATTATAGTTCTGAGCTATTAACTCATAAATTATTATTATTTATATCTCAGACTATATAATTTGCAATTAAATTCAAGCTACTCCTATTTTTAACTTTCTTTTGAACTCAATAAAATCATTTTTTTTATATCAAAGACAATATTTATTTAATATTAAATGTTAATCATTCGGTCTTTTTGACAGTTTATAAGTATAAATCAATATACAATAATTATTATAAATTAATACACTAAAAATGCATATAAAATGCGTTTTACTTTTTTTAAATATACTTATAGATAAAATTATTTAACGTCATTTAAGCCGTTTTCTCCATATATAATATTAATTATGCACAAACTTTTAAAGTTGTTATTTTGTAAAATCATAGTTAAACAGAATCGACACGCCTTTTCCTAACAAGTGCCGTGAGCCGGGAGTCGTCGCACTCAAGGCCGCCGCCGCCCTTTGATCCACCCACCTTGAATCGCGTGACTGTGATTTCACGCATTTAAAACTAGGTTACTTTTAATCTTAATTTTGTAACGCTGAATCCAATACCATATAAGTCATCAATATTACTGTTATTAAAAATATATTTTTTTTTCAAATTATTCATGACACAAAATGGCGAAAAAAATATATCTTTAACTTTTATAGTATGTGTAGCTTGATATTTGTAAATAATAGTATAAATAGAAAGTTATTATCAAAGATATTTTACTAAATTTCAAGTATGTTAGATTCACATTTGAAATAGGATGTTGATGCTGTTTCGTCAAGGGAGTAGCTCACGAAGCGGTCACAACCTCCTGCGTGTGGCCTGGCGGGCCCCACACGGCCGGGGCCGCACTCGCCCCGCCCTCCCCCTGCACCGACCGACACACGACAACGCTGCCCGTTGGCGTCCAATCTGTTACACAATAACACTATTACCAAGGCGGTATCACTGTTTACCTTGATAATTTTGTCTTCACTAATATATTCCACTGCCACTTTTGAAGGCTCAGACGACATTATCCACTTGACACTTGCAAACAATTATTTTCCTTTGTTCACTTATGGAACGCACCATCCTCACGACCGGCCGCCAAACTGCGGCGAGCAAACTGACGATTCTAAACGAATATGATCGTCAAACTTCGGAGATCCGCCTCCTATCGCGGTCGTGTTCAGCGCATTACTATTTACTTTTGTGATAATTTTTTAGTACAGTGGATTATAAAGAAAAATATAGTTGGTTTTATAAAGGTTTGATAAGTAATATTAATATTACATGTGCACATACATGTAGATTATCGTTTAGAACATGGCTTGATTCCTTGAGGGCCATTAGCTCCGTCTCACTCATACAAAGACAGGTCTTGATTATTGGTAGGCAGCAGCTGCGCCTCTCTTCTCCTCCCCGTCGCGGGTGCGGCGCCACCGCCCGATAATAATAATTGAAAGTAGGAAGGACGTAATAATGGGTGTATAACCTCGCGTCCGCGGCCTCCTTGGGCGGGTAAAAAATACACATGTCGCAATGCTTACCGCGCCAAATCTTACGCGTTATGACTAAAAACAACAATTTTGGTAGTAGTAATATATCGTCATCTAAGGTTAACGCTATGCTCGTTTAAGTAACTCGAAGTCATTACTTCTAAAAAAGAATAAGTTACAATTATTGACATTTCTTATTCTTTATGAATTATAAATAATTTGTTTTAGTGTAGAAAAAAAAAGAATTTAAAATAACATTTTAAAATCTAAACTGTTATTATAGCAAAACATGCATTGCATGTAGCTAGCTACATGCATTCCAAGTTAATATTATATTATAGGTGATGAATTTCCAAAATACATGTAATTATTATTTTTATCATTTTGAAATGCCCATATTGTAATTACTGATAGCAAAGTAACTTTTATATTTTATTTACTTGTTACAAAAATATCATATTATTTATAAACCAGACTGACATAAAGTGAGAGTGAAAGTCGAGCCACGTTTTGTCAAGCGTTAGCCGTGTTTGCCCCAAGTCCATTATGCACGAATGAGCAGCCGCCCCGAGAGAGCGCGTGTCTCCGGTTTAATTATCTCCATCTTTTGTAAAGTAATTCGAGTCCTAACATATGGCATTAACGTTCAATTCACATTGCAACAATTAATTTTATCATGAATTTCATAGACAACATCGTTCTATAAATATGATATTTAACTTTCTATCTTAGTGTAATAGTAATATAGTTCAAACTCGAACTTGCTTATTAGAAAATATAATGCTTTGTTGATTTGAACTAATTCCATTATGGGTGTACCTCTATGTTGTGTGGCGCGGTATGCGGTAGCCGAGTGACGTGATAATGTTTGCGTATACTTAATTAGTTGATGAACAGAACCGATGAAATCATCATTGTATTGTTTTAGGTCAACGAATATGAGTTGTTTTTATTACTTGTAGGCTTAGGTACCTGCATTAAATCAAGGTGATACTTTACCAGATTTTATTTGGCTTTAAAGTTTACTTAGGTATAGATTGTACATTTTAAGAATTATAAGTATATATATTAAAAGCCGAATAAGCGAAAGAGGAAGAGATATTACAAAACATATGCGGCTTAGATTATCGAACTTAACTCCTGATACCAATGCTACACTTTCTTCAATAATGTTGCTGTTAAACTAGTAATTTAAAATTTGTTTGAGGCAGTCAGATATAATGTTAAATAATCTTATTAATTTTGCTTAAGTTTATTCAGATAATTACTGCATGTTTGCACCTATATAGGTACTAGGTACATATTGCTACTACATATCGACCGATTCGTGAGTAAATTGGAACCTAATTCTTTTAGTTTCAATCTTACTTTTGCCGTTAATACCTACTAAGTATTTATAAGCAAATCATCAGCGATGCTTATTAAAAAATATATAAAAAGAAACAGTATATTCAAGGATAGCATAAGAAGCTAAATTTTAAAATATATAAGGCAGATAAAATTAATATAGTTCATGTGGATATCATGGAAAGCTTTAGTCCAAGATCACATTTAATCACCTTACGTTTAACATTCATAAAAATTAAGTAATATTGCATAAGTCCTTACTGCAGATATAGAATAGGGTTCTGTAATTGCGACAGTAATGTGGCTAGTTCTATCTTTAAATATATGTAACATTTTAATTGAACTATGATTCATGTAGGGCAAGGGCAATTGATCATGATGCATGTTAAGAGCTGAGCTGCAAGGTTGCTGTACAATGACGGAAGCGGAAGTGATGGTGGGCGGGCCGGACCGCCCGCGCCACCCGCCCCCCGCTCGACACGCCCTAGCTAGAATCACGCTGCATCTTATCATTAATTAGTGCATCAGCCTAAAATCATCAAATATATAAAGATTTGTCTAACATTAAACAAATTGCAATTGCTCTATCTTAAAAAAATAAATGCGTATAAGTACGTACTCTATCATATAAGTATTAATGTTCGTATTTATCTCAATAATTTGCTTTTTTGAGCGGTTGCCTGTTACATGGCAAAATTGAAAATTAATAGTGTGTTGGTATGTGAATGAATATCTTATTACTCACTTTATCTATAGAGGCAACGATTTCATAGGTACATGGAAGGGATAGTAAATAAAACCATAAGTTGTCTAGAAAGCATTAGGCTCAAGGACAGCATGTTACTGCCTCTGATATATTTCAAGTAAAATTTAGTTGATGAATTATTATTGTCATGATATATTAAAAATATTCAAAAAAATCAAAAATGCCTAAAAACTAAACGTAGATTAGCCTGTTTTAGGGTAGATAGCTATTTCAAAAGTAATTTATCACAGCTAATTGACACAAATTTAAAATAATATTTTTGCCATCATATATTTAACGATTATAATTTTTATTACAACTCAACACTTGTAGGTACTCTAGTGAGTAGAGAAAAGTGTGCATCAAAAAGTCGCGCTCACAGCCCACCCTCACTTAAGGCTCCGAGGGTTGTGCAATGAAAAAAGTATAACTAGAGTAATGTTTCCCAAGCATTTTAATAAACAATATATTAATATATATATTTTCTTATTATAGATGATTTTGTAGTTATATTTGTATTGCTACCTTATGTAGGTAGGTTCAAAGCTAATTAAGGCAGACAAAAAAATTTACTTAAATAAATTTTTAATTGTAACTTATTTATTTTGCTAATTAGTACCTAATGCAAACAACAGTTGGATTTTTCTGGAGTAAGCTAGAAATGTATTTTTTTTACTATAGTATACAGTGATCCAAATATATACCTACATCAAATTAAAATTTAAGTTGAATATTTGTGTATGTGTAACTTTTCGCATATTTATTTCAGCTACATCTACACTCTGTATATCTATAGGCTCTATGTGTACCTATCAATTACCTGATAAAGACACTTACGTATCTATTAAGTAGGTACTAGCTATTCATCCTCGCTTCGTCCCTACATTTTAACGGTTATTAATGTATGATAGTCTACATATTATAGGTATATATAGGTACAAAATAAACAGTTCTGAACATTTCGATTCTCGAACAGTTTTTTTGAGGTTTTCCTTATTTTTAATATATACTTAAGCCACCCCTTACACACACACCCCCAACAAAACAAAAAAGAATTATTGAAATTGGTCTAGCTGTTTTTGAGTTTTAGCGAGACTACCGAACGGAAATTGATTTTTATATAAATACTAGCGACTCACCCTCGCGTCGCTCTGGTTCACCCATAGCTTGCTTCCCACTACATACTTTCATCCCCATTTTCACCCCCTTAAGGGATGATGTTCGGGATAAAAAGTATCCTATGTCCTTCCCAGGGTCTCAAACTATCTTCTTAAAAAATTTCATCTAAATCGATTCAGTAGATTCAGAAATTACCTACCCTTACAACGTCACAAACTCACAAGCTCACAAACTTTACCTCTTTATAATATTAGTATAGATAAATAGATACTTATTTGTGTCATACTGTTTATATTTACCTACGTTTATTGGTAGGTTAATATCTTTCATTAGGTAAGTATTTGTAAAGTAAGTACCTATTTGTACGTAAGTACTCACTTCATTTTAAATCAACTGTTATTAATTACAATTATTAATAATAGTTTTAAATATACTCATAATAGCAATGACCTATCTACGTCCGAGCGTGGGAGGTTAACGGGTATAAACATACGGGCCGTTTTTATTCAAAAGTCAAGGTTTAAGAATGTGTTTTCAAGATGGCATATGTATCAGGAAAACTTAATCATGGGTAATTAATTTATTTTTATTTATGTGTAGATAGATTATTACATATGTGTGTTTTTTCCTTATGAACAATAATTATGAATTACCTATTGTAATTAATCACTTGTATTATTATAATTTTTAATCGATAAAATTTTTTTCGTAATTGTAAATAATATCATCGAATTATAAATGAAACTACCTTATTTGAATCTAAATTCATAACAGTAATAGACTTTGAATATACAATCAAGTACCTATAGTAAAATTAAATAAAAACATACTTCGGTAGTATTATCTAAACAAGCAAACTATTTAACCATTTTATTCTGAGGTGTTGCGTTTCAAAAATTTGTAAACACGACAGAGACGCGCCCACCCACCGCCCGCCCGTCATAGCAGGCCGCGGGGGCGTAACCACCGCCCTACGTCCGAACCACGTAAGTTACATTACAACTTTCTCACAAGTAACTTTCATGAACTTTTACCATCAAGAACAAGGATTGAAGTTAGCCCATAATTATATTTGTACATGTTTTATGTATGGATTGGTATTTTAAAAATAATCTAGTACTTAAATAGTAAGCATTTATACTAAATACTAATTACCAAAAATTTTACAGTCACGTCATTGTTTGGCTATTATAAAAATTAAGTTTAAAAGCCATCATAAATAACGGTATTGAAAATGTAAATCTAAAGGATACTTTTCTCTCATTCGTTCTTTGATCTAGCTGTCTATGGTTGATCGTTATTTCATGTAATATATATCATCTATGATAATAAATAACATAAGTCATAACTGTAAATTTGTAATCTGACACCTGTTGCTGTTAATATAAACAATAAAAATAAATGTATTTTGTTTTTGTTATTATCTAGATGATTTATTATTCGATTTAAATTGGTAATGCTTCGTTGACCTAAACCAAAAACAATTCTAGTAAGGAATATAAAGTTGAATGTTGGGTTTTACCTGATTTCTGTAGTTAACTACATGTATGAATGAAACGACAAGTAGAGTTCAAATATATTTATTGCACAACAAAAATTACATGTATGAATTTATATATAACTCAAAAAATTGTCTTATAAACGAAAACACGCTACGCGCAATAACATTCTTAAAATGTAAAATTTCTAAAAGTAAACATTTAGCGATATCAAAACAAATTTCAGGTAGGCAAATCACTTTCGATTGAGACTTTTAATTATGAAGATATGATTTTTGTTTGTGATAAGTGATGTACAAAACTTGTCTTTAATCGTTAAAGAGTAGAGATGTTTCGCAGAGATGAACTAAGTTCGAAAAAAGCTGCACTTTGGTGGAGTCTTCTAACAATAAGTTATATTAATTATTTATGGGTTATGAAAATTGAAATTACAAATTGTATATTTTTGAAGCGTCAAGTACTGTTTCTATGTACAATTATTAATTACCATAAGGAATTTACAATACATGAAAATAATTTAATTTTAACCGAACTTAGGATGTCTTTATAACTATAACAATAATTTAAAATAAGTTATGGTGATAATTTATGTTTCATAATTAATACTTAGTAATGTGACTATTACGACTACATTGTTGCAAAGTATTCGATTTATCTGAAACAAAAGTAAAAGTAAAAATTAATGACAATCTAAACTAAACATATTTCTATTGATATTTTACATATGATTGTAATTATTATGATTTATGATATTTAGTATTTCAGGAAAAGTGATATTTACAAGAACTTATTTATGTGACTCTCCGCTAGCATAAACAAGACTTTATGGGACCTATGTAACATACATATATAGCAAACAAGAATTAATTTAAATATGATTTCTAAGCCATTTTGTCTTATATCCAAAGCCTTAATGAAAATGTTAAAGTTAAATTAATTAATCTATGTACATAGTAACAATTACTTTATTTTTATTATTTACCTAGGTGGTAATTTATCGCCAGTTACAAGCCACCACCACTTCTCTCAACACTGATTTGTTTCTTAAGCGCTTCTTTCTCATGGTGCTGTTCCTCCATCTCTGCCATACGCGCGAAACGAGAGTATGCCACGTGACCTGATTTGATGGCTGACATCATCTGTATACATGGGATTTAAATTGATTTCAAAACATTAAATAATGTTATAAGTATTTATACAAACCAGACTAAAGAAAAAGATGGACCACAAAGAATAATAAATGAATCCTTTAATGGCAAAAAGAAAATATGTCATGCAATTACTTTGTAATATATTTTGTAGGGATTTGCCTGTCTGTCTGTTTCTGTTTCGCATGATTATGTTGCTTATTTATTTTCAGTCTAATTGTAATTCAAAATATCTTATTATAATACTATTTTATTCTTCAAACATTACTTTAGTCTGGACATTAATTATTTGAATACATCTATACAGAACTTATTAAACACATGAATATACATAATTAATCATTAATAACTTATAAATGTTGAATGTATAAAATGGATTTGTTAAATAATGTAATTTTAGTTAGAGAAAATAGCATACATTATTTGATAGAAGCAAAAATGACAAAACAAATACAGAAGCTTGGTGGGTCATGCACAACATTTTTGTTTAGTTTAGTGAAAGTGAATTGAATTACTATGTTAAAACTTAGAACCTCTATGGCTATTTCAAATGTTTCTGTTACATATCTCTAGCATCCCAAGGGTGACATTTCTTGCATTACAAAAAAAAAATAACATGCTTTAAAAATGTTATTTATCATAAATTATTGTTTAATGCAATAATGATGCAGGCGTATGGACCTGCAAATACTCGTCGAGTTCGACTTGGCCGTTCATGTTAGTGTCGATCTCCCGCAATATTTCGTGCAACTGTTCGCCCGTCACGTCCTCGCCGTAGTTCTGTAACCGTGTAACATTCAAGCTTGAAGCTATATGCTTATGTGAAACTTATGCGCCCCATACATATATACACATTCAATTATATTGTGCTATTTTGAATACCTATACATATAATAAAACTGTAGAGTTCGAATGTCTGTACATAGAAAAAAAATTCTAAAATCCGAGTCAGGGGGATGGAAGAAGAGAAATAGAACAAATCCCGATTTTTTGTCTCTGTCTGTTTGTCTGTTTGTACGGGCTAATCTACGAAACTGTTGAACCGATTTAAATGAAATTTTGCATGGTGATACCTTATATCCCCGGTCAACATTTTAGATACTTTTCATACCTTTTCTAGTTGATAAATATAATTGAACTTGTAGGGATAGTATTAAAGTAGTATTGACATTTGCGCATGACTGAACAAAAATTTGGGCTAGTTTAAATTTTATTGCACTACATTTTGTAATTGTATCGTATCACATATGTAGGGGATATTGCATATTACTTTTAGTCTACAGTTCAAAGCGTTTTAATAGCAAAAATGAGAACTGTAGCGCAAGAAAAAGAATGCGAATTCTTAATCGAGTGTATTCAATTATACCGTGTTATAATAGTCCAAAACCGCTTTTGTTTTTGCTTACGTTTCGTTACAAACAAACAGCTAAATTGTGATCAAACATGTTGCTATCATGAAAGTATTGACGCAATATGGTTCGTCAATTTGACTCAATATAATTGTACAGCAGCTGAGCGTTGGAACGATTCAATGATATGATGCAATATTTAAAATTGCACATTAAAATTGAAAGTGTGTAGGGCGCCTTACACATACCATATTATTTTCTCAATTTATGCAATCTTTAAATGCATAATTTTAGAATTTTTAGTATAAACATTGACTAGCCTATACATTGACCCTAGACCCTGAACATAACCAATATACACCGTATACCATTACAAAAGCTAAGACACCATGGTGCGACACAAATCCCTAGTCCGTGTACAATCTGTTTCTACCTGAAGGTAGTCCTGTAACTCCAACTGTCCATGATATGTGACATCTATCTCAGATAAAATTGCGCTAATTTCAGCGTCCGATGGCTTCACTCCCATACTCTATAACATTGTTTGTTAAACAATTAAGAATACCAAGAAGGAAAATCTCTAATTTTTTTTAATAAATGGTGTTTAAAGTTTTAATTCTAAGTACATAATATAATTATATAACCTCAAAATATTCAGTATAAGCAACAAGTGTTACCTGTTTATCCCTCCCGGTACTAAAAGAAATATTTTTGTTATAAAGAACTTAATCATCACTCCCCATAATTTGCAATATAAATATAATCAACTTCCCAACTCCGGCTTGCTAGCGAGAATTTCTTCACAAAAAACCCAATAAGTATACTTGATTCAACCCAGGATTCGAACTCCGGGTCTGCAGCCGTACATGCTAGCCACTAAACCAACGAGGCATATACCTTCAAACTCCTCCTAATATCGTTGATGGAGACGAAGCCCTTCCTATCCTTGTCTATGATCTGGAAACGTTTGATGTATGTCTGTATCTCATCTTTGCTGAGATTGATGGGGATCTTGTCACGGCTGGCTCGGTTCACCATCTGGCCCATTTCATTGGCAAGGAATTCGGCAGCTTGCTTTGTTTGTTTCTGTAATTATTCGTCATTTTGGGTTAAATAGTGGTTCATAGTGATAAATTTAATTACAAAATGAATCATGACACTGACGAAGTAAATATACAATAAGACTAATAACTAACTACAAAATAAGGATTTAATTCAAGGTAGATGTAAGGTTAATAAAAAAAATGAATAATATTTTTACCTTAAATATATAATATAATATATAGGTTTGCTATTAGTTTAAACTAAGATTTTTGCCTTATCGTTATTTCATTATTTTATAGAAATTAGTAATTAAATTTGATTAATATATTAATGATTAGAGTGTACTATGGGAGCAATCCCTTGGTTGTTGTGGTCTGCTTTGGCCGGTCTGCCAACGGGACGTAGTAAGTGCGTAAGCGATAAAGACTGGGGAGATTCTGTTGGATTTTACTGGGTAGTACTGGCTTTTCTAGCGCGTGAGTCTCACATAACCGCCTGCCTGTATGTCTTCAGGTGGTATGCGTAAATGCATTTCCCATCATTAAAAAAAGCGGTAACCTGTTTCTCGGCGTCGGACCACTTGAGCTCCTCCGCCATGATGTCTACGATGACGGGCAGCGCCTCCGCCGCCGCCTGCACGTTGAGGAAGGCGAGGCGCAGGCGGCGCGCTATCATGTCCACCGCAGTGCACGCGTACTCGCGCACGCCATATCTGTGTTAGTTTTGTGATAGTTTACACATTAAAATAATATCGGTAAAACTCTTTTTGAAGTAAAACTTCTTTACGCACGCTCGACTTGGGAGGTAAGATGGTGAATATGTTACGAAAAAAATGTACGTACATTTGTTGCCATATTAACCGTTGTTATTGTATGACAAATGATATATAATATTATATTCTTTCATTAAATGATATTCTATAAATATATGATTGTAATATACCTACCTAATATGCGTTATTTTTAGTATCTCACCTATCCTAATTATTTAAAACATAAATTGAATTTCATAAAGAGTACCGATAACCTACAGAAGTCTTACTTCTTGCGCGTGTACACATTCATATACGCATTCTAATTTTTTCTATGTAAGGAACTCTCGCAAACGTATACAGAATAACCCACCAGAGTTTCATCACAATCGGATTAGGAACGGATAAAGGACAAACTTACGAACATTTATTTTTATATCGGTCAATTAGTACCTTTTTTTTAAATATGTTTTTCGTGGTTTGATTTTGAATTTAATTTGTTGATCTGGTAATTTGATGATGAGGTTGATCAATGTTTTACAACAAATACGGTCACGGTCACTAAGGTTTTTGACCTCTTGACTTATTCTTTTTTTTATTGTTAATATATGGTTATCCAAGAGATATAACCTAATCATTTAAAAATTTTCAGCGTAAATCACAATTATTAAGGCAGATATTGCAAATAAAAAAAAAAACAAGTGCTTGAGCCATTTGCGATGTTTACCTATACTCATATCGTTCACTTAGAATGTGACAAAAATATTTTACGCCACCATTTCGTTAGTTATCATTTCTATTAAAATAAATTCAAACGTTAAAACAACTGAAATTATAAAGTATACGAACCTAATTTCAGCATCAATATATGGGAATTCGGGGTGGACCTTCTTGCCGATGATGGGCCACCTTTTGCCGGTCATGGACGCCATCTTAGCAACTGCGAAAGCGCGATCTCCGTATGACTTGGCCAAGTGTTGTGCGGCCTATGAATTAAATGAAAATGGATATTTAATTAAAATATTACAAAAATACATACTATTTCATCAATTTATACATAATCTGGACAAGACAATTTAAGACAAGGCTTTTAGAGTTTACGGGTGTCCTTTAAGTAATTAATGAAATAAATTGTCGGAATTTAAGATCATAGGCGATATAAATATTTTTCTGAAATTATTCGCATTACTACTTACAACTTTATATTTTATACTAGTGTTTTAATGGTTAGTATAGATTTCTCAGAGATGAGATATTTTCCCGCAATAAAAAAAATATATGTTAACCCGGATAACCAGCTATCATCATACCTTTCATCAAAATTTGTCTAGTGATTTTCTCATGATGCGTTCCCAGAGAAACAGACAAAAATCTAAAAACTATAAATTCGGCCTCTGTATCGATTAGCTATCTGACTATTTCAATAAGATTTTAAAAAAAATATTTAATTGTACAGATTCGACTCAGTTAGAATTTCATTATATTTATAGATAGATATGTACATATTATCAATATTAAATTTCGGTCCCTTACTTCCATTTCAAGGCCGAAGTCTTGCACCAGTCGGATGTACATGGTGGGTGTCCAGCCGTGCGCACCCTCGATCAGGAAGCCGTCTGTTTGACACTCCCTGAATAGAGGCTTTAGATTTGCGCCTGGAATTGTACAAAAAGATTATTTATAGATACTGATCCCCTAGATGATGTACCCCATCAGTTATTTCCATCCCATCCTCCTAGTAGATACTCTGTCCCATCATCACCTATAGAAATTGGGCGGCCTTAATTTTTATTTCCTTTTATAGACGATAGATGGTATTGAAATGCAAACTGACGAACTATTTTCAACCGACTTGAAAAAGGAGGAGGTTCTCAATTCGACTGTATTTTTTTATGTTTGTTACCTCAGAACTCCGTCATTTCTTAACCGATTTGGACAATTTTTGTGTTGTTTGAAAGTGTATACTTCCAGATTGGTCCCATTTAAATTTCAAAAAAAAAAATACCACCCCTAAGGGTGGAAAAATAGCTAATGATGAATTTAACCTACTTCTAATTGTCATATTGACTTGAAACTTTGCAAGTGTTTCTATTTCCATTGATAGTACAGTGGTTCGGTATTGTTGACCTGATCTGATGGTAAGGTCAGAAGGTGGATTGGTGGAAGTCTTCAACGGCTAATAGTAGATACTTTGAGTTTGGGCTTATTTTGTTTGATTTGAAAAGCCTAACACGTTAGAATTCTTACTTTGCTACTACTGTCTACACTAAAAAGGGAAAAATAAAAACTTTTTAACAAAAACATAAAAACTGACTTTCAAACAAAAGCACTAAAAAGTAAAAAATAACTGATTGGTAGTTTTCATTTACTATACATACCTAATCAAATATTTTCGAAGTCGGTGTGCTTTGCTTTGTATGGGCTGGCACCGATTTCGAAAATATTTGATTAGGTATGTATTTAATAGGTAAGCTTTAATTACTTAGCCAAAGTTCTAAACTATATCAAACAACTTATAAAATGTAAACAGAGCCATTTATCAACATGTAGTACATATGTTCTGTACTGCACTGCACCCAATAGCGAATTATAAAACCCGTTTTGTTTTCTGGGACGAATTATTTTTATTAATTTTACATAAAAATAATAACTAATTAATTTGCACAACGCCATCTATTGACATTTTTTTACCTATATTTTTTATTACAGGACCTCATACTGATAATTTAATTTTGCATATCAAGTTAAGGAAATATAATTAATTGAACTATACATAAAAACTAAACTAAGAGTCAGGCCTTCCTTAACAAGGCAAGCATTTGCTTCAGGTATATAAACCCTTCAACTAAGTTTAGAATTAACTAGGACCATATAATGGTCCATAAATATACTTAAAAGAGTAACATCTATAACCTGGAAGGTGGCATCTACACCTAAATTAAATGGACCATTTGCTGGTGCGCAAACCACTACATACTCTCGATAGCAGCGTCGATGGTCTCGGCGGCCATGGCGCGGTAGGTGGTCCACTTGCCGCCCGCGATGGTGACGAGGCCGGAGGGCGACACGTGCACGATGTGGTTGCGCGCGAGCGACTGCGTGTCCGGCTTGTTGGGGTCCGACACCAGCGGCCGGATGCCGGACCACGCGGACAGCACGTCGCCGCGCCGCACTAAGAGGCATACCACGCCATTGTTATATAAATAGGCGGAAGCTTGTGTGTGTATATGTGTATTTCTAATATATAACATTCTCGTGTTACAGTGGTGTTAGTAACAAAACTCCTTCGAAACGGCTTGAACGATTCTTATGAAATTTTGTGTGTATATTCAGTAGGTCTGCGAATAGGACGTAAACTATTTTTCATACCCCTAAGTGATGAGGGTGGCCCACCCCACCCCAAATAAAATATTGATTTTTTGGACAAAAATTTTCATTTTATTTTTTTTATGATTTGGGCATTAAAATACATAAAAACCTGAAATTACACCTATATATATTTCTCACTCCTGAGACAATTTACCGGATTCGGAGGATAATAGTTTAAATTTATGTTTATTGAAACTGAGAATGATGATACATATTAGAAGAAAAGGAATTGATACTAATTTCAAATATTTATTTATTTATTTATATACCACCACTGCCAGACAAAGTGTATAATATAATGTGTGTAAATAGTGACTACTTTCTGTATAATATTTCATTCAATTACCCTCATTGAAATAAGAAGAATTTTCTTGTTTGTTGGCTTCAAAGTATGTTACGGATAACTTAGCCAATTTCGTGTAGAATGGATAGATTTAAAACGATTCAAATTTTAGTGTATACTAATATTATAAAGATGAAATATTGTTTGTTTGTACTGAAAAATCTCCGAAACTACTGAACCGCTGATGAAATTCGGTATGAAGATAATTTGAGACCCTGGAAAGGACGTAGAATAGTATTTATCACGGAAATCATTCCTTAAGGGGGTATAAATGGGGATGAAAGTTTGTATGGGAAGCAACCTAAGCGAAGCGAAAGTGAACCGCTAGTAATTTATAAACACAACAAAATATATTACATTTGTATTCACTCTTAAATGGTCTTAAAGTATCCCTCAATACTAATTGTATTACAGATTGTAATTAATTACTCATCATATCAGCTATTAACATACCTTCAACATCCGGGTTGAGATAGTTCTTAACCTCGGTGAGGATGAACAGAATCTCATCTTCCGTGGGCTTAGGGTTGTGCGTGACCTTGCAGGGCAGGTCTGTGGTGCCCGCGATGGTGCCCTTCAGCCACGGCAGGAAGAAGATAACCCTGCCGTCGGAGGTGGAGGGGTCGAGCAGGCCCATGTGCTCGGGGCTGGAAAGGGTTTGGTTAATGCCAATGTTCATTTATTTTTGACCAGCTTCAGAAAAAGGTTAGTTATTCATTTATATATCAAATATATATCAAAGGTTATTTATTTTGATTTTCATGATTTTATTAATTAATATGGTTGTTCCGTAATATTAAAAAAATATTTACTAATACGTGGAATAATTACTTGTAAAGCAGGTATTTTTAAAGTCGATGTACTTTTTATTTAAAAAAAATATATTTGAAACGGATTTAATGTTACACGTCACATGCTATACAGGTTGGATTTTTGAGACGGGACAGTAAGGGCAGGTACCTTAACTGCTATAGTTACAGGAAAACGTTCCTAGGAGACCATCCATAACTTTTTGAGATATTCTGAACTGCATTCACAGAGTTTGGAAAAAATGTACAGTTAGCAAAAAAAAAATGCTAAAATACCAAAAAAAACTTTGTTTATGTCAATCGATCCTATTTCATGTAGGGATCAAAAGACTCTATGGGACCGTTTAAGGTATGAGGACTAGAAATGACAGAAATCGCCAAAAACAATTCCCATACATTTTGTACGGAAAAACGATTAATCAACTCGAAATATTCTTGTAATGTATGGCAATAGCAACCTGTGGCGTAACTTATTTGAAAACTCAACTGACTAATTGTATTCAAAGTAACAAAAACCTAACTTTACAATTAATTGAAAACTAATCAAGTTCTAAGGTCTAAAATAAAGTGTTTTTTAACGAAGTCGTGTCTTGGAATTATTGTATTTTATTGTACTAATGATGTAAACTTCCAAATTAGAATGAAAGCCTAATTTCTAAAACCTAAACTATATAGACAAATAAAAAAAGCAAATACCTATAATATCCAGGAAGTACAATATGAACACCAGAGGAAGGACAGCAAATATCCTTAACAGTCTGGTCATCCATTTTCCTGATGGAGTCAGTGAAGGGTCCGGTCGCGTTGATGATGCTCTTCGCTTTAACGTCCCATTCCTTACCAGTCATTTCGTCCTGAAATATTTGAAAAAGATATGTAAAAACTTTTGAAATGTTAATCTATATATATAAAAGAAAGTCGTGTTAGTTACTTCGCTTATAACTCAAGAACGGCTGAACCGATTTAGCTGAAAATTGGCAGGGAGGTAGTTTAGAGCCAGGAGAAGGACATAGGATACTTTTTATCCCGTTCGACCGCGTTCCAATTTTTATGATATTTTAATTTTTGGATTTCTCTTAGTCCGGAATAGGTAAGTATTAAAACATATAATTAAAATGTGAGAAAGAAAGATTTTTTCTTTTTATATCTATTTAAAACGTACCTAGCGACGAACCCGAGCGAAGCGAGGGTGAGCCGCTAGTATTTAATACACACGTGTTCTTATCAAATTAGTTCTTTAAATATAGCCCAGAATAAAGAAAAAACAGGAGTTAGGCAGTGGTAGCCCAGTGGCAACTTGCTCGCTGGGGCGATTCATGTGCGAATCATTTTCAATATGATTACCACTTGTCTTAATGTTGAAGGAAAACATCGTGAGGAAACCTGCATGTCTGAGAGAACCTAGCAAGTTTTCAAAAAACATGTGAAGTCCGCCAACTCGCACTTGGCCAGCGTGGTGGACTATGGCCTGATTCCCCTCGTACTGAAGGGAGGCCCGTGCCCAGCTGTGGGACGTTAAAAAGGGCTGAATACAAAGAAAAAACGATACTGTTATAAGTACAAAAATTCAAAAACAGTTCTAACTAAAATAGAACATTAAAATAAAAAGCAATAAAAACATTAAAATCCTAATATTAAGTAGACGTTTTGTAATGTTAGTGCGTTTCTCAAAAAAGGTCAGTATGTCTGTTAGTATAAGGTCATTCTAATTTATCTCGATCCAAAAACAAGTCACAAGTCCCGTGAAATAGCAACAAAAGCTGTATTTTGCCACACAAGTGTAACAAAAAGAACATATTTTGCCATCATCTATACTTATTATAAAAATAAGTCCCCCGGCCGCGTCTTTCTGTCCTCCTGTCTGTCCTCCTGTCTGTCTGTACGCGATAAACTCGAAAACTACTGAACGGATTTTTATACGGTTTTCAACAATAGAAAGAGTAATTCTTGAGGAAGGTTTAGGTATATAATTTATTATGCTTTTATGTAAATTAGCTGAAATACGGCGACAAATGTTGAAGAGGTCGCAAAAAATCTCGCCAAATGGGAACTTTCCACGCGAACGCCGCGTAAACTAGCAAAGATACAGTTAAGTAATGTACTAGAGAATTCAAAATCTATAAAAATGCTACAAAAAAGTCCGCGATAGCATATCTCTATCTCTTACGGTTGACTTACAATAACCACTTTTATGTTAACATTTTTAATTAAAAACATTACGTTATTTTCAAAGTTATTTTCTTTAGTTCGGTATTAATCCTTATCCAAATGAATATTTTAGTTAGCTTAGTCATTTAATGCAGATTAAAATTGCTCTTTACACTAAATCAATCAGATGAATAGTTTTTGAGATATCGTTGTTAGAAGTAATTAGTAGCGAAACATTTTTAATGCTTGGCGAGCATTGAGATGCCTACGGCGAGTCCATCCCCTCTGCCCCGCATCGCTCGACCGCCTGCTCAAGCTATATAAACCGGGCGATGTAGCGCGCGATCCTAGGATACTTTTTACCGCGGGAAAATATCTTATTTCTGAGGAAAAATACAAAAACTGCAATGTAAGAGTATACTAATATGTAACACCTAAGAATTTAGTTTTTGGTCATCTGAACGCGGGCGGAGCCGCGGGCAATGCTAGTTAATAAATAAATATGTCGGGACATTAACACACAGCACCATCTAGTTCCATGGCAAGCTATTCCTGTGTTATGGATAACAGTTAGTTGATAGTTGATACACTACACATATATAACTTTTAAATACATACACATTATAAATATAAACACCCAAGACTGGAGTACAAGCAAAACAACATATTTCGACATCATTAGCGTAAAAACAAAGACAAAAACAACATCTAACCCTGAGCCGAGCCCCGCTGAGCTTGCCGTCGGTCTTGTACAGGCGGGTGACGCTGACGTGGTTGGCGATGGTGGCGCCGTGCCGCGCCGCGGTCAGCGCTATCGCTAGGTTCATCCTTGCGTCGTCTTGTTGCCCTTTGGATTGAAAATTACACATCTAGGTATACTCTAAGCGGACTATCTATACGCTATACATATACATAAAATTGAAGTGTCTGTTTGTAATGTCAAAATAATAGCTTTTTACTAAATGCATACGAAATTGTTTATGGTACTTATAAGAAAAAAAAACAATTTTTAATATTTTTGTCTGTCTGTTTGTTCCGGCTAATCTCCGAAACGGCTGGACTGATTTTGACGGGACTTTCACTGGCAGATAGCTGATGTTATAAAGAGTGACTTATGCTACTTTTATTTAAGAAAAATAATTAAGGTTCTACTCAATAAAATTAAAACTTAACTAAAGTCCTAGCGACTTCTATCTTTTACTATCATTTATATTATTTGACTATCATTTAAAAAAAATACACTTATAGTATTAGAGTATATAATTAGACAGTGTATAAATCCCTCACACTACAGAATTATATAGACCGATCCCGCAAAAAAATGTCAAAGTTAGAATAATAAAATAACTTGTAGCATCATTTTCTGTGTAGGCTTACTATTCTCGATTGACATATATACAGGTTGTTTATTTTTTCAATAAGGGAAATTTTAATTAATAAAAATTAAAATATGAATAATATATGATAAATAATATATTATTTATGATATCTAATGCAAAAATATTTTTTCAAATCGGATTAGTAATTTCTGAGATAAGCGCGTGCAAACAAATAAACAAACAAACTGCCTCATTATAACATTGTTATAGAATAATACTTTCTTAGATTTACGCGAATATTCGACATTTTAAATAAAACTATCTTTTCGGATTATTTCGCGGATTTATTTTGATTTTGGGTTCCTGACGTTTTGAATGCTTTACAGCAATCATGGTCACGGGAGAGACTAAGGTTATAGATATCTCAAACACATATTGTAATAGATTTGACTATTTCGTTACAACTTTACGTCACTATAAATTAGTATAAATTCATACCGTCATAATACACGATGCCACCGCACAAATTGTCGGATTTCAACATGGGGAATAGTTCTAGGGTATTCTTCTTAGACAAATAGTATGAGCTCTTCAGATTCCTATCTCCAGCCACTATATCGTACATCTTGATACCAAACCAGTAGTAGGGCACTTGCCACCATCTGAAAACAATTAAATTTCCCTTTAATTACTAAAAATGTAATAACTTTGAATATTTCTATACTAATATTATAAAGACGTAAAGTTTGTGAGTTTGTGACGTTGTAGGGGGGTAATCTCTGGATCTACTGAACCGATTTAAATGAAATTTGGTAAGAAGATAGTTTGAGACCCTGGGAAGGACATAAGATACTTTTTTATCCCGGAAATCATCCCTTTAGAGGATGAAAATGGGGATGAAAGTTTGTATTGGGAAGCAAGCTAGGGGCGAACCCGAGCGAAGCGAGGGTGAGTCGCTTGTATCTAATAAAGTATTAAAGTCAACTGCCTCGGTGGTGTAGTGGCTAGCATGAACGGCTGCACACCCGGAGGTCCTGGGTTCGAGTCCCGGGTCGGGCCAAGTTTAGTTATTGAGTCTTCCTGTATAGTTAGTCTCAGTAACAGCCCGGAGTTGGATGGTTGGCGGTGTTTCACCCCCGTGCCTCGGAGAGCACGTAAAGCCGTCGGTCCTGCGCCTTAAGTCTCACTGGTCGTGTCGAGTGGTCGTCCCACCGGAGTATGAGCGTGATAGGAATAGAGAGTGAACTTGTGTCTGCGCGTACACTTGAGCACTATAATATCACCTGCGCAGTTGGCTAATCTCGTTGAGATTGGCCGCCGTGCCCGGAATCGGCTAGGAGAACATCATTAAAGCCAACGTGATCTCATTGTAAATGTATACTGTAACGGCCCGGATTAAGGGTCCGTTGATTACTATTGCCATAGTATACAGCAAGGCGCCATAAGACGCTGATCGGATAGGTACTGGTAAAAAACCAGGTCTCTCCAATACACGTGTAAATAATTTATTACAATGTCATAGTTATTATTTGATTAATTTAGAAATTTAAGTTTAATACTCACTTGTAGACTGGCAACAGTATAGGCAAAGGCCTGGTCAGATGCGGTGCCACTTCCAACATATTGGCACGCTCGTGTAACGCCTCCTTTACCATTTTATATTGATCGTAGTCGAGTTGCAAAATAGCTTTTTGCAAGTACCGTACGCCTCCGTGTATGAGCTTGGTACTCCTACTTGACGTGCCACTGGCGAAGTCGTCGGCTTCGACCAGGGCCGTGCGGAGACCTGAGAACGAATAATGGAGATACTTTTATTTTATGCAGTTTTTGTCATTTATAAGTTTTTTTAGGGTTATGTTATTTGACGACATATGTTTGGCTCAATTTGTAGTGACCCTACTTGCTATGCCAGCAGTCGCAGGTTCGAGTCCGGCTGGGAGCATTCATTTGTGTGATGAGCACGAAAGTTTGTACTCCAGTCATGGGTGTTTATATTTAGAATAGGTACATATATTTAAAGTTATATATATGTAGTGAATCAACTATTTGGTATCCATAAAACAAGCCTCCCAGCATATCATGGAACTAAATGGTGTTGTGTGTTAATGTCCCAACATATTTATTTATTTATGTGATTAAAAAAATGCTAAACTTTCTACAAGAAGAAAAAAATAACATTATTCTGTAAAAATGTGTTATAGGTCATTATTTCGTTCAAAATGGTAACAAAAAATTGAAAAATATTGATAATTCTTTTTTCAAATATTTCTTTGCCACTTCAACGATTCCGAGTATCGATTATCGTTGTTTCGTCCTACAGTAAATATTTTAGTAGGTATTAGGTAGCTACACTATTTTATTAAAGGTATCTTTATTTATTTATATATATATATATATATATATAATATATATATATATATATATATATATTTCTCCTAAAGGACTGGACCGATTTGGATGAAATTTTGTTTGTATATTTCAATGGGCTCCTGGATGGTTTGAAAACACAATTGGACCTTGTAGATGTAGCGTGTGGCTGAGTAGTTATTGTATTCAGCCCTTTTTTAACGTCCCACTGCAGGGCACAGGCCTCCCTTCAGTATGAGGGGAATCAGGCCATAGTCCACCACGCTGGCCAAGTGCGGGTTGACGGACTTCACATGTCTTTTGAAAGCTTGCTAGGTTCTCTCAGGCATGCAGGTTTCCTCACGATGTTTTTCTTCACTGTTAACATAAGTGGTAATCATGTTGGAAATGATTCGCACATGAAAATATGCCAAACCCGGGATTTGAACCCGCTTCACTCGGTTTCCCAAGCGAGCGCGTTACCACTGGGCTACCACTGCCTTCTTATTTTTTTTATTATAGAATAGTTATTACTGTTATGTATTTTAAGATGTAAACAATTTAAAATATAGCTATAAATACAAAATTAAAATGTGTCTCTAATGTACCTCGTGTAGTAGCATCGAGGGCACATCCCGCGCCGGTCGCGCCGCCACCAATGATAAGGATGTCATATGTATGGCCAGCTTGAAGGCTCTTCACTTGATCAGCGCGACTGGGCAGTGGTCTCTTCTTGCGTTCGGTCTTAGCGGAAACCGTTGATGGGTTGTACCAGTGCTGGAAAATCGCAATTTTACATATAGGTAGTGCTACTATCGGCTCGGAAGGCAGTTCTGCTGAGAAGAGTCCAAGAGAATCTCATAAGTTGCACTTTTTAGAAATCGTGCAATCGATCGCCATAAAAATGTAATCTAAAAGTACTCGTAGTATTTCAGCGCGGTGGGATGGAGTGTAATTAAAATGTTTATGAGATAATTAATCACTTACGAGCAAAGCTTGACGCTTTAAACAAAACAAAAAAAAAGTTTCAAACTTTATTACTAGCAGTAACCTATGTGTTACTCCAGGTAATAGTGTATTTCCCCCCCAACGTGCGTTCACCTTGTCGTGGTGGGGGGGCTCAGTAGTAGTAGCGAAGCTAAGAAACGCACAGGGAGGTTGCCCACTTCGGTGGGCGGTGGGAGGTGGCCCTCTTCGGGGGGCGGTGTACCTTGCGGGTTGCTCCTGGTACTTCTCTGATAGCAGAGTGGACCTTGGAGCAATCCCATGGTTGTGGTGGTCTGCTTCGGCAGACCTGCCGTCGGGGCGTCGTAGTTGAATGCGTAAGCGATCCTGCGACGCCCCATTAAGACGGGGGAAGGTTTTGTTGGGTTTTAGTGGGTAGTACTGGCTGTATTACGCCGGTGAGTCCCACACGTCGTGCGTAAATGCATTTCCCAACGTTAAAAAAAAAGGTAATAGTGTATTTGTATACCTACTAAATTTCATCTAAATTTGTTCAGACTATTTGTTGGCATCTACGTACGATAACTATTTCAGAACAACCTGCCTAAGAAGGATTCGCTTTAATTTAAACGCAACACAATCTTAAAAAGGTAATTAAAATCGAGATATAATTTCACATTATTTAAATGGAAATTAAAGTAGTATACATATAATGAATAGCAACTTTATTTTATTGCGTTGAAGTACAATATCAATTTACACGTTTTATTGCTTACGTAAACAACTGAACGCGATTCTATATCAAGAGAAACATTTCAATAAAATATACTTATAGTATATGTAGGTTACAAGTACAGACTAGTCTACATACATTTTATCACAGCATTACATAATACATTCGCTAAGCCATAAATGAAGATGGAATAAAATAAAAATTAATGGGCTTGAGCATTTTTGTATGTATTTTTAGATCCACTTTATATAATATTTGGACCTATAAAGGTGCATGATCATTTCGAAGATCACAGGTCTTATGTTCACACGTTATGTTATATTATGTTCACTTCAGTGAACGATTAGACGAGAATTTGAATTGATTGATGCTTAAATTTTACAGTGCAGTCTTGTTTAATCTACTTGCCAAATCGTCCCTGGCAAGTGTTATCGAGCTTGTTAAGAAGTGTATAGTTGTACAAAGATTAAAATGTTAATTTTTACTTTAGATAGGTTTAAGCTAACCTTTTTACTATAGAATATAATAAATATCATAAAATAGTAACAAAGCAAAATCTGTACATGAAATATTTAATAAAAACAATAACTGTAACGTATTGCGTACAATATAAAGACCCCAAAACAGTAGTACCTAATTGAAATTTTTGTCTGTTTATTTTGTATATCTGTTTACTTTTCACGCACAAAGTACTGAACGGATTTTTACTAAATTATATGTAGTGATAACTTATTACTTGGGTCAACATTTAGGATACCTTTTACTACAGGAAATTCTTTAATTCCCACGGGAAAACACATTGAATGGTTCTGTTGAGTCGTACATGGCTAACGCTAACTAAACTGAGATACATTAAAATAATGTATTGGAAAATTGTAGATCTTAAAAAAACCTATAAAAATCCACAATAGCATGTATGTCTGCAATAACAATTTTTATTTATTTAAAACGTACATGGACGTATCCGAGCGAAGCGCGGGTAATTCGTATAGTTAATCATAAAGTAATTTTAGACCGCGATTGCAGCCATATGTGTACCTGGTACCTACCTACTAATTTCAACTAAACATGACCATTCCTTCGATAGAGCGTGTAGAGCAGCTCTATCTATAGATTTCGTAGAAAGATCCGTAAAAATGTTGACACTCGAAACACGCTATCATAATATACAAAACAACAAATTTCTTTTTATGCCGTAATAAAATCTTAAGTAAAAGATGCTAAATGGATACATATACTAATTTAGGTAGCGAAATTTTTACGAAAGTATATCCTGGATTCCCAGATAAGCCATTTTTATTGAAGTACCATACTGGGCTCAGAGAATAAGTATAAAGTAGTTATTTATAAATTCACCATCACAATTATTTACAACTAGCAGAACGTGCGGCTTCGCTCGCGCTAAAATTACAAAAAAAAACGCTTAAAAGGTAGGTTTCATACAAACTTTCATCCCCTATTTTCACCCTCTTATGGGATGAATTTTGAAAAATGCTAAAACACATATTTATTTAATTGCATATAAGAGTATTAGTATCAAGTTTCAAGTAATTCTGATCATAAATATTTTTTGGGTTGTATTATAACGTGCTTTCCTATGGGAATGAGATAATTTCCCGCAATAAAAAGCCTATATCACTCTCCAGTCCTCCAATTATCTCCACACAAAAAACCACGCCAATCCGTCACTCTGTTTCGACGTGAAAGAAGGACAAACAAACAAACAAATACACTTTCACATTATTAGTATGCATAACACAAATAAGACTGTAAGCATGTTAATTAATTTGCATAAAAATCCGTAGCAAGATTCATCAAGTCACTATACTGTACGACCGGTACAGGCATAAACTTATTAATTTGGTAGGTATCTTAAACAAATAAAAAATATTTGGAGCTATGTTATCTATGGAGGGTTATATCACATTTGCAATTCCAAAATATTGGCATTTATTTTCTAGCGTCGGTAACCTTGAGGTGAATGATCAGCAACATCCATTCTATAGCTATCAAAAAATCTAATCTAATTCGAAATGATGTGTATTTACGAGTTAGCTAATACAGATAAAATAATGATAAACGATATGTCATAATAAAAGATATTTACTATTATTATAATTTTTAGGGTTCCTTACCCGAAGGGTACCAACGGAACCCTATTACTATGCCTACGCCGATCGTTCGTCCGTCCTTCTGTCAGAGGGCTGTATCACATGAACCATAATAGGTAGAGACTCAGAGAGTTGAAATTTTCAAAGAGTATGTATTTCAACCGCAATAACAACATATAATAACAATAAATAAAAACAAAAGTACAAGAAACGATTTCTCTTAACGTTCGTAATCGACCATCGAAGTTAATATAGGAAAAAAATACTACATACATAGGGTAAAAGTCATATTAATAAAAAATACGTGTACGATGATACTTAACCCTTCGTGTGCGAATTCGACTCGCACTTGATCTTTTATTGCGATTGATTACATTTAAAACATAACGTATACTTAATACGTCTTATAAAATATACATGTATTACCCACGGGAATTTTCCTATCGTAAATAATAACTTTCCAAAACGCAAAGAAATATCTATACATACTTAAATAATAGCCGGTTTGGGATAAATAAAAAGTTTAAACTAAAATGAATCTAAAAAAATGATATTTGGGGGTTTAATATTACAGTCATCATTACTGAAAATGGTTTTAATAATTTTGCGAATGCAAAAATGTGTGTGCGCATTCTGTTTATATTGAAAAAGTAGTTGTATGGTTAGAGAGGATGCCTTGATTTCCGCCATGAAGTTGTAATGTAATACGTACGGGCTTGTCGTCAGCGGAGAGCGCCCAGCCAGCTAGCGCTGCGCCCGCGACTCCTGCTCCACCTATTAATAATTTTCTTCTCGACATGATCTGTAAAAGTATTAAGGATTTAGAGACATTGAAATTAAAAACCTATAAAAATAATAATATTAATAAAAAATAATGAAATAAATCGTTGTACTTACAAGACAAAATGAAAATTATGATATTGTTAAACACATACGCTCTTTCAGATTATGAGATATAACATTTAACCACCGAGAATCGAGATATTTACTCGATAAGTTATTTTAGTAGCTATAAAATCGTGTGTACAGCGAAAAAGTATTACCGTTTACGAGTTAGGTAAAGAATCAGTAGAGAAATCATTTTAATTTATTATAATGGCTCAGTTCAGCTTAATGGTCTATATACATGAAACTGGATAAAATAAATAGCAACGCAAGATTTTTAAATTTTAAATAAGCTAATACCTCGTACCTCTAAACCCTTTTTTTAAACTAACCTACTTCGCTGTTAGTATATACCTATAGGTATTTAAAATGTAATGTTACAGCGATCATTTCTACTAAAATATGTCTTTAATACTAACACTTTTTCAGCTCAACATAATATGAAACCTGTTAGCTTATTGTAGGTCAAGGTTCCACTTTAAGTAGGTACCAACTATCTACCTCAGTAAATAATGAAAACTCGAGACCTTTCTACGTTTAATGAGTAAAAACTTTGTAAGTTTTTGTATCGTGCACTTTAAATAAAAAGGGGTTTCTTTTTAAAGGGTTTCCATTATTATCTATTCCATTCTTATCTACGTCTATACCGATATTATAAAGAGGTAAAGATTGTGAGTTTGTGACGTTGTAGGGCGTAATCTCTGGATCTACTGAACCGATTTAGACGAAATTTGGTAAGAAGATAGTTTAAGACCCTGGGAAGGACAAAGGATACTTTTTATCCCGGATATCACCCCTGGTGAAAATGGGGATGAAAGTTTGTATTGGGAAGCAAGCTAGGGACGAACCCGAGCGAAGCGAGGGTGAGTCCTAGTACATATTATAAAATTGTAACTAAGTCGAATCTGTATATTAATTTGTTTCGGAAAATGTTATTGAAATAAACATTATTATCGATAGAGGCCGAATCTATAGTTTTTAGATTTTTGTCTGTCTATCTGTTACCGCATCACAGAAAAACCACTGGAGGGATTTTGATGAAATTTGGTATAGCTGGTTATCCGGGCCAGCATATAGGATACTCTTTACCGCGGGCAATGCTAGTAAGTAAATAAAAGACACTACGGTGTTACACCATCGAATTACTATGATTTTACTTGAATCTTTTCTCTTAACTTGGACCTCATGATCTGCAGTAACGCTGGTCGGTAGCCACTGAGTCAACGAGGGACTTAAATAGAATAGAATCTATAGCGGAAGTAAGAAGCAAATAATAATTTATCTACTGTATGATCATACGTATTGTGAATAAGGAAAATATGACGTAAGAAAAAAAATGAAACCATGGAAATATACCTACTAAAACATACCTAAATCACACATTCTACAATCTCATCATATCATATCTACATCCGCCAAATAGGGTGATGACTGTTGGAATTAAATTAAAGTAAATATTTAGGTCCCCGCTGATGTGTGTTTACCTTGTCGTGGTGGGGACGTCATTTGCGTTCGGGATTAGGCCTCATTTGGGAGGCGATGGCACATCTTAGTGGGCCACACACCATGCGGGTTGCTCCTGGTACCTACTTCTTTGATAGCAGAGTGGACCATGGGAGCAACCCCTTGGTCGTTGTAATCTACTCGGTAGGAAGGAGTGGTCGGAGCTACGTGGTTGAGTGCGTAAGCGATCCTGCGACGCCCCATTAAGACGAAGAAGATTCCGTTAGGTTTTAGTGGGAAGTACTGGCTTGTTGTGATTATGTTTTGATACCCGGGACTAGGGAGCTACTTCGATGATAGATCCAGGAGGTGGATAGTGGAACTCTTTAGTAGCTTTTTTTCTATTCGTTTTACCGAGCGTCATATACATATTACATTGATTAAAAGCGTATTAATTTTAAGAACGCTAGCTTTAAACTTCCACGTTATGGTAGCGTGAAGAACATAATCCGCAGATAAGTAATATTCTTTGTAAGATACCGCTCAGAGACAGCGGCGTTAGAATAAAAGATTGGAAGAATTATGGTTTAAGAAGCGTAGGGTAACATGATTTTAATGATCATCAGATCCTTATCACCGAGTATCTACTTATAATCTATTGGATTCGTAAAAACAAACTAAGCGAACCCAAGTTAGACCGGAGTTATAGCCATTGACGAGTATCCTCGAAGGTATAATAACAAACACTTATTAAAACTCATGAACAATGTACTGTATATCTATAAAGTATAATCCTACACATTTTTTAAATTACTCAATAGATATATAGGCACTAGTGGCATTAGTCATACAAATACTTTCACAAAGTCACGATCTTATCACGATCGATGCATGCAAGTATACAAAATGTAGAGTTCATCAACTGATAATCATGAATCTTTAAAACTACTATGAATAATACACCTAAATATAAATTTCACTTACATACATTTATTTTTACATAAAACTAACATTTTGTTAGATTTTTACTATTCATAAATTATGTCCTTTAAATTTACTAAAAAATAAATATATATATAATTTACTAGTTGAAGTCTTTCTTCGGTTTGGCTCAGTTTGTAGTGACCCTACTTGCTGTGCCAGCGGTCGCGGGTTCGAGTACCGCTGGGGGCATTCATTTGTGTGATGAGCACGAATGTTTGTACTCTAGTCATGGGTGTTTATATTTATAATATGTATGTATTTAAAGTTATATATGTGTAGGTAGTGTATCAACTATCTGGTATCCATAACACAAGCCTCGTAGCTTACCATGGAACTAGATGGCGCTGTGTCTTAATGTCCCAACATACTTATTTATTTATTAAACAACCATAAGTCAATCGGTAGACATAATAAAGAGGAAAATTAAAATAATGATATTCTGATAATATCATGAATATTATTAAGTTACATAACACGTTCTTGCTTAGATATACATACATTAATTATAATTATTAATTATCGCACGCACGTCAAGTTTTATGTAGGTGAATGAATTTGCTTACTACAATTTTTTTTATATTTTTTTTAAAAGTGTTATTTGCTCTAGAGCATGAGTTGCCAAAAATACTTGCAGACATGTCTGCTACTTTAGTTTGCGAACGATGAATGATTATGTCGTTATCAAAGCTATCGTGTTATCTGTAGATAAAAACGTAACATCGTGTTCATAATTAGTTCATCATTACTTCCTACACTACAATAATTAATGTGCGATAAGCGAGATACGTCTAAACGTTTTATATCAATCTTATTTTTTTATTTGTTATGTTTGTGAAATAAAATTAAGTAAAACTACATTGGGGAAGGAGAAAGGTTTTTTTAATTTTAATATTTTTTAAGTTTCTTGAATCTTTTTACATTATAAGTAGATCCGTATTACGAAAATAGTTACGTTATTTTATATTTAAAAAAAACTAATTTATTCCTTATCTGTATTAAAAAAATCATGGAAAATTATTTTATGCATGATTTTCCCATGAGTATAACATGTGACGAACTAAAAATAAAATGCTTTCAGCGTTTAGCTCTGAGTAAAGAGAGATCAATGCAAACTCAAGGGCGGCATCTTGCAAGTCGTTAACATTGTTTGACACAATGTTGCTAACAATGCCAGTTATGTCTAAATGTAGAGCGTACAACAAATGCGTAATTTTTGGCACAGATTTAGAATTGAGTTCCAATTATATATTTACGCCTTATATAACTGAACTTGGTCAATTCCGATGAACTCGCCGGTGTCAAGGATGTTTAGTTAGTACAACAGATAGGTCTAATACAAGTACACACATACGTTTTTAAGATATCGCAACTATAATAAATAAATAAGTAAATGTAGCTATATTACTGGAAAATAAATATCGTGCATCTTATGCGCATCACGTATGATTAAAGCGTGAACGGTTTTTAAATAAGACATAAGACCCTCAAGTATTTCATTGTTTAATTGTAGTATAGCTTGGAATTTTACAATTCATATACTCTAAATAACTAGGCAAAGATATGGTACACATGCCGAGCCAAAACCAAAATAGACTGAGCTACTGATAATAGTAATACGACAGTATTACAAGGCGCCTGAAACCGCAATCAGGTGACAATGAACATAGAACATTAAATGTATATAGAATAAAATTCTTTTTTCTGTTAAACTATACCTACTACAAATTTTTAATTATATACAAAATAACATTTAAATAATAATCAACAAAACAAATGTACAATGTACATTTTATATTTTCTTCAATTTTAATTAAGTTATTATTAACATACGTTTGTAATCATTTTATTTAAACTTTCTTCATCGTTTAATATTTACTCGTAAATACGGTTTTCTTGAAAAAATTTCCAGTTCCAGAAAAGTTGAAAAATCTCTAGTTTAATTGCAAAGGTAAAACCTGCCCGACTCTACCGTAAGAATGACCTTGGCAGAACTGTAATGATGTCATATTACGCTAGCGGTGGCTATATATTATATCACATATTATATTCTATTAAACAGACTAAATACAACTAATTAAAACAAACTAATCTAAATATTTAATAAAAATTATAAAACACATTAATAATGATATAATATTTAACTGCTCTACAAAGTTAATCATAATTTTTACTTGATCTTGCACAACACTTGCCTTTTATTACTGGAAATGTAATATAATTTCAATTAAATAATTAATATATTAAATTCAGATCGTAACATGTAATTAAAGAACATTCGTCTCGTATATCAATCAATATAGTATAAAAATATTTAGGCTCGTAACTTACGTTTCATTTTGTAAACTACTACTGTATTATTCTTACCTTTTATCTTTGTAATTTGCAGGATTTGTCTAATAACAATACATTTAATTATTATATAAATAAAATACTAATTATAGTACACAAGGGCACTGAAGGTATACTTTTTTCGTTTTAGGGATTCGA